TCTATCCTTTACTTATTAATTACTAAGAAAACTAAAAACTTACTTATTTCCTAACCCCCGGAACGTAGCGATTTTCGAGTTTATTATAGCTAGTAACTCTTTTCTCGTTACTCGTATTATAAGCGGGTATAAGGCCTAGCTTAGATTCTCTATTAAAGGGGGGTTACGATTTATTTTTATCCGTAGGTAGGTAAACCGCTCGTCCCGGAATTTATAACGTATCCCGTTAATAAAAAAGAGGTAGACGCCGTAGGAATATCTAAAGATACGATCGGAAATTAAGGATCGGTAGGAAAAAAAGGGCTATATATCCACGTACTTAGCGGTATCGGAAAAGGCGAGCCGGCGCTCGTAGTATTAATAGGGTACCTCGTTAAATACCTTATATTATTAAACGAATAAACTAACGACGTAATAAGGATCCGTCGCTAATCGACGGAAATATTCGCTAACTAATTCCTTATTATTAATTTTTATAAATAACGTCCGACGGCGAAAGGATTAAATATAACGAACGAAAGATATAGCATAGCTCTAGAAGTAAGTAACCTCCTAAAAGTCCTTACTTATAATCTCCTATACGATATACCGGCCGGCCGCCGGCCTACCTAAAAAATAAAACCGGACGTTACGAATTATCTTACCATTAATTAATATAGCCTTCGATTAATAAATCTTATTAATATTAAAAGCTATATACCTAACGCTATTAATTTATTACCCGAATTTCCTCGATGCTTCGGAGCTACCGGCCGATAATTACTTTCGGGCTTTAATCTAACGGACGGAAGTACGGGACGTACGATACCTACTAAGGCTTAAGGATTAGCCGATTAATGTCCCGGAATTCCTCGGTAAAAGGTAAACGGCGGAAGGATTCGTCGGGTTATTTATCCATTAAATTTATCGGTAGCGGTATCGACTTAGTCCGTTAATGCGTTACGGCCTTCTTCTTATCCTCCTTAGCCTTTTTAAACGCCCCGGTAATCTCTTCGTCGGTAATTCCCGTAGCCTTTAACTACTCGAGTAGCTTAAGGACGGTCGCCCGGTTTAATTTAAGGAGTTACTTCTAGATAGTAGGGTTTATTATATATATATATATAGAAAAAGAGAGATAGAAACGACGAAATTATAATTCTAGAATTAAGAAAAATCGAAAAACGAATTAAAACGAAGATAAAGGACCTAAGAAATAGAAGAAAGGAAATAAATCGGAATCGTAAAATAGCGAAAAATAAGAAGAAAGGTCGGACGAAAACGAGAGAGTCGAATACGTTACCTAGGTCGTAAATACCGTACTTAGGAGAGTCTCGATAATACCTACCTTAGCCTACGTTTAATTACGAGTTTATAAACGTACGTACTTATTACTTTATTAAAAGTATATAATAAGAAGCTATAAGCTAACGCGTTTTCTATTATAATTCTATACGTACGCGGGGAAACGCGCTTTCTTAAAGCGTTAGCCGTAAAGGTATATCTAATTATATCGTTAATACGTTTCCCTTCCTTCCTTTCTTTTTCTTTTTTAGGTATCTCATTTCGAAAACCCCCCCCTTATAATTATTATATTCTTATTAATCTCTAGCCTACCTTTCTTATTATTAATTTAAATTCTTATTTTTACCTTTAATTTATTATCTTTTCTTTTCCTTCCCCTAATTCTTTTTTTTTATTTTTATTATATCTTCTTCCCGCTCCGCCGGAATCCCTCCTTCTTTCTTCCTTCCTTTCGTTTATAAAGACGTACGTCGTATCGATTTAGCCAACTTAATAAAACTCCTACGGGAGATTTATAATAATAAAAATAACTAAAATAATATAAAGGAATATTAACTTAATACTTTAGATAATTACGATTCGGGAAGGAGCTAGATCGAATTAGGATCCGATATAGCTTAGGCTTTCCGGCTATCCGTTAATCGGCCCCGAACTATAAACTAATAATAATAGGAATAAACGAAGGTAGCCCTAGTTAATTCTTTCGTTTACGTCGTCCGTTACGACTACCTTATTAACGAGGATATCCGTATCCTTTATATTATAATAAGTTACGACCTCGAAGGTAGGAAGGCGGCCTTCGAAATAAACCCGTATTAAACGATAAGCTACCGATCGATAGAATCGTTCGATTTTCTAACCCGCCGATACCTCTTCGATAACCCTACCTTTACTTTAGTTTTTACGATCCATATAGATCTAATAAATCCCAAGCGAATTATTACCGACCTTACGAAGTTTTCTTAGGCCTACTTCGCCGTAACGCTATACCTTCCTAAGCTCCGGAGATTATATAGTTTTAATATAGTTAGGAACGGCGCCCTCGATCGGGCGGCGTACGCGTTCGGCTAGTTATAGCGAGCCTAGGAAAACGGTAGCCTCGAGCCCGATATAACCCCTTAGTTTATTTATTATATCGCGCTAGTAAACTAATAAGATAGCTATAGCTACGGTTTTTAAAGCGGCATTTTACCGTATCTTATCTTTAAACGACCGATCGAAGTCGCGCGTTAAGCCTAAAAGAATAAGAAGCTCGACCCTTTTAATATTATAAGAAAATACGCCGAGGTAGTAGAATAATTTTATAGCGTTCGAGTTTTAAAGGAAGGGATAGGTATCGTTAAACGTCTTCGGTAAGCCGTAAATTACTAGAAGCGAATTAACCTTATTAACGCTATAATATCTACCTAAAGTACGCCGATCGGCGAACTCCTTAGCCGTAAATCTTCCGTTCGGTTTATCGCATAAGCCGAAGTCCGTCGTTTCTTTATAGCCTTAATACCTAATCCCCCTTACTCCCTCGTATTAACGGACGTAAACCTCCGCTATAATAACCTCGTTAAGGTTATAACGCGCTTTCTTCCTTCCCCCGGACTAGAAAGGATTAAGGCTTTCCGGTTAAGGGAAACCTCTATACCGTATAGGTAAAGGAAAGATACCTAATTAACCCTTAGGACGCGCCCGCTTCCTTATTATTCCTTTAATTAAGAAGGCTAGGACGAAACTAAAAAGAAGGTAGCCGAGATAAAGAAAGAGAACGCCGATCGGGTTAGATCGGTAAAGGTAAACCGGGCTAAGTTAACTATAAAGTAATAAAAGGGCCTCCTTATAATATTAAACGAGAAATTAAAGGCGCGGCCGTAATAATTAGATAATAACCGGAGGAATAAAGTTTCGCGATAGTTTTTAAGGGAAGATATTAATCGGGATATACCGTATTACCCTTTTTAATTTAATTATCCCTTACGGTATAATTAAACTAAGGAGGCTATAATAATACGGTAAGATATATCTTTTTAATATATTACGTAATACGTTACGATAGGCCTTATACCTATATAAAGTAACCATAGCTCCCGTAAATACGGGATATACTATACTTATCATTTAATTTATTACCTAACTAAATTACTATCTTTATTATTTTTACTTTAATTAAAGATTCGTTTTTATTATTAAATTCGTCGTTTTCCGATTAATATATCTATCTTAGTTATAAGCGCTTAAGTTACTTCGTCGTACCGCTATAACCGAATAAGTAACTTTTACGTTTTGCCCCTTTTCTTCCCTTACCTCTTATACCTTCGGGCTAGCGATTACTATATTTCTACGACTAAAGGGCATAGCTAAGATACGATAATTATATTAGATTCCTTACCTTTCGATTAATATAGCGATACTAGTTTCATTTATCTTGGACCATCGTACGTACTATAGTCTTCGATAGAATATACCTTCGAATGAATATATCCGGGTCTCCAGTATCGCGTACGCTCTGCTCCTCCTTAATACCTTTTAATGTCATAATATAAAGTACTTATTAAAAATAAACTATATATTTAAAATTAATAATTAAAGAAATATCTATTTAATTAAGAAAGGTATTTTTAGTTATAGTAATTTTTAATTAAGCTATTAATGTTATTCTTTTAACGAGCGATTATTTTTAAATAGACAGCCGTCGCTTTATAAGCGATTATTACTCTGTAAGCGACCGTCGTTTAATGGGCGTCCGTCACATTCTTTTTTAACATCGTCTATATAATAAAAGCTAGAATATTCTTATTTATTAAGTATCTTCGTATCTTCCCCTGTTGTGTTTTATAACCCGTACCTATTAGTACTCTCTTTAACCGTAGTTTCTAATATAAACGTAATTAATAAAGTTGAGAAATTCGCTGTTAATTAATCTCTATATATTTATGTAACGCTTATAAATAGTATTAATAGTTATTACGACCTTTATACAAAGCTAGCTTTTAAAAATTAGTAAATTTCCTTATTAATAACTTAATTAAAGCTGAAAAGCTTACTAAAAAAGAAGGCTATTCCTGACTTAAATAAGCGCTTCTAATTACTTTAAAAGATATTAGCAAATAATTAGAATAGTTAATAACTACTTAATATTATGTTAAAAGCTGTAATGAAATAATAATAATAATAAAATAAAGTAGTAATAACGATAGCTTAAAAAGAAGCTATAAGTCTACTAAATAAGAATAAATAAAATAATAACGTATCTAATTATTACATATAATTAAAGCTCTAATACACTTTAGAAATTAATTAAATAACGCATTTTAATTTAGTTTACTTTTTATAATTTTTGGAGTTTATTTAAATAAGCTATTCAATTTATAAAAGAACCTATTTTAGCGTTTTTTACTATATTAAAGGGTAGCCCGCAAGGGGGTAGTTATGTAATAGATAGTACATAGTAGAGCTTGGTTGCATGTAACGGGGCGTGTAAACGACGGCAAATGCATATCTTTAGTCTAAGCAACAAAGCGTAATTCCAGAAATCCCCAGCAGAGGCCAAGGATGGGACAGAGCCGGGTGGCACCGGCCCGATATGAGCACGGTCCTTCGTTTGCGCCGGCTGTCAGTCAGCCCGCTTTCTCGTTGACGCCTCGGAGCGGGCCGCCGATAGCACCCAATCAAGATCATTGGAAGTTAGGACCCTTGTAGGGACCTGTACTTAACCTGCTGAACGACTACCCACCTGAGCTACCTACCTAACCAACAATTTCTCTCGCCTCGCTGTCCTCCACACCCTAAATTGCGATGCAAGTTACCGCCGTGTAATCCTCGTACTTATGCGTTGCTCTCTGTCCGAGCGAGAAAGTTCCGAACGCGTCTCGTACATCCTTACTTGCCTAGGCGGGACCTGCCCGTGCGTGTCGGCCATTCGCAGACATAGACGCGGACCGGGACCGAGACAGGGTGCCTGGGTTGCTCGTAATGCCGAGTGGTTCCCGACCTTCCCTTCTTTTCATACCTGGCCGTGTCTGAGCCGTGTCAGCGTCTCCGGTCACAGCACACGCCCGCAAGATGCCGGCCCCACCGTCCGGTCCCTCTGGGGCTATGCCTGGTGATGTCGGCGAGATAGATGACATATCGCTCACCTCCACAGGCGATGAGGCCAGCGGCGAAGACCAGGATAAGGAGTGGTTCGTCGATGACCTGTATGCTGAGCGCCCCCATCCCAACCGCCCTGGCGAGATGCAGTACCTCATCCGCTGGGACGGCTTCCCCATGGACCAGTGCACCTGGGAGCCCGCCGAGAATCTAGGCCCGGGTCTGCTCCTCCAGTGGGAAAAAACGAAGAAGGATATCGCTGCTGGGAAGTCTCGGGCATTTGATATCGAGATATACAACGCAGCCTATAGGCTTAGGATGGAGAGACACCTAAAGCGGAATGCCAAACGCAAACGTCTCGGTTTACCCCTTACCGAGCCCTTCTCTTCCGAATCTCCCATCGACGGTGCCGTCTCGCCGACCACTGAGGGGGAATTAGATTTGGATACCAAGTCCGATATTAAGATTGACGCAAAGCTTAAGGCCAAGTCTAACTCTCGAGATGCTGATCCGCAAAAGGCGCCCTCTGCTACCGCATTGGAGAATCCCCAGGCCACAGTAGGCGTGGCCCGGCATGTGAACAAGATACCCTCGAAGCCTACGTCGCCGCCACCACTGCAACCTAAACCATCCCAACGTGCCGCGCTGGTGGACTCCGGTGCCAAGGCTGCAGGTAGTACCACAATAACGGGTTATCAGGGCACGGCGCGAAAGCCGGGTACGGCCACGAGCCTGACGTCGCCTAGAGCTGGAGTTGGTAAAACAACACAGAAGAGGCCGAATCTCCCGTCGAAGGCTTTGCTCGGTACATCGTCACAGCCTCCAAAGTTATCGACCAGCCTAGCAAACAAATTTTTGGGTGAACGGCTTACCGCAACTCGTTCTCACCCCCCGCCGGCGGCACCCGCGCCCGTGAGACGGGCCAGTAATGTGTTTATTGGGGGCAAGGAACGAAAACGAAGACCAGGCCTTATCGATGCCATGGTAGACCCCTCCAAAACCCCGAAGACATTCCATTCCTTGCGTGTCATGAACATAGCTAAGAAGAAGGCGATTGAGAAAAGTGACAATGCCCCCCTAGACTTTGCCTCAATCCCGGCTAGTTTCTTCCTGAAAAGCAATGAGGGCGATCGCCCCGATGCAAATCCGGCCCAAAGCAACGCCCGTCCCGAGCCTGTCGAAACCTCCCCTCTCGTACAAAGCCCAACGGAGATGTCGCCACTCGACTCGGGCGTGGCTGCGCCAGTGTCTAAGGTAAAGAAGTCCGTTCGCTTCATTGTCCCCGGAGACATCGAAGTGGCGGACGAGACGATGGGTGGGACGGTAGAGGTTGCTCATGACACTGCTGTCTCGGCCGGAGAACCAGGACGTGCCGTCCGGTTCTCTGTAGACCTTCCAGCGGTGCCAAAGAAGCTTTCTTTAACTACTTATCAAGAAAGTAGACAGACGCAGGTCGTGTCGAAGACAGTTGTGTTCGGGGAGGCCGGGTCTGATCCGGTAAAGGTTGTGTTCGATGGCATAACCCGCCAGAACCAGCCGTGGTTGCCGGCCTTCATCGGTCGACCAAAACTCCACTTCGGCACCATCTGTGCTGCCTCTAATTTTGTCGTTCAAAAATCCGACCTAGTGGGAGAAATACTCTCCGCCGGAGCTATAGAGCCGGCGTTGCCCGACACCATCCCCGCCTTGAAGAATGTGATAGCACATCTACGCCGCGGCCCCTATGGGTGCCACCTGGTCGCCGAGGAATTCTCGGTCCTCGTCTATCCGCCGGCCTGTGACGGCTGGAAGGGGCTTAGCGTCGAGAGAGACAGGAGTAACTCCGAGTCCCTACAGTTTATGATTTATAGGTCCCCGGTCAACCCCAAACTTTATCCCCCAGCATCGATCCCTGGTGCTCCGGCTCATCCAACCCGCACGGAACATGGACTGCACTGCCGGCTCCTACTCCGGGACTTTTTCGGCATGGACTTCTCCCACATGCTCCCTCAGGAGTCTAAAAGGATGGACAGCCAAGTCTTCATGCTGATGTTCCCCGAGAGAGAGGCCCAGGTGTGCAACATGGTCAAGCTTTGGCTCCGTAAGTCGATATCGAGATGGGCATCTTACGATCGCCGAGAACTTCAGTTGCTAACCTTGTCCCCTCCATGTAGGTTCTTGTCAACCAAATTGTCGGGTTTTCTCTTTAGAGATAGAGGACAGCTGGGCTAAGTTTCACGAGGTGGTGAGGGCTGGAGCAGCGGGCACGATCATTTTGCATGAAGATATGGCTGCCACTATTCGAAAAATACCGCGCGTGTTTCAGATGATCGACAACAAACGCTGCTATACCTTCTGGAGCCTTGCCACGGGCCAGTACGACCCGCCGAGGTTCCCCTCTAATATCGATGCTAGCATCGAACCTGGGACGCTTCAGATGACTCGGTTATTTCCCCTCGGCCGGGCATTTCTGGTCACTCCTAGCTTCGCACTTTCGGATCCCGTCAGGCTCTGCGAATTTCTAAAATGGTTCCTGCGCTATTGCGCTAACCTTCGCTATCTCATAGTCGCATGTGCTAATTTCCCCGACTACCTAAAAGCCATCACGCTCGAGAAGGAACGAGAGCGCCACGAATTTAGTTCGCGACATAAGGACGATCCCAAGCTCGAGGACATGCTCGGGGGCTTGGGCCTGCGTCACAGCGATATCCAGGCAAGGTTCGAGGCGTGGAAACTTTTGAACGACATCATGCAGCAATTTGGAGACGAGGAAACCAGCGAAGATATACGGAAGGTGGAGTGGATCACGGATCAAATCGACCCGAATGACGAGCAGAGCTTGGTGAACTGGTTTTGCTGGTGGTCTAGCGCCAAATGCGATCGCTACCGCAAGTTTACCGTGCTCGGCTCGAGCGTCAGCCGGAACAAAGCAGCCTATAGAAACATTCGGCTTCCCGTGTATACGGACGAAACGGTGAGCGACCCCGACATAGCCCTGGCTCGCGAGGACCAGAAGCGTCGAGCGAGGGAGGCGGTCGAGGAGGCCGAGAGCGCGAAGCAATTCGATCCGATGCCCGCCACGTCCCCCGAGTCAGCGAATTCCAAACCCGTATTCCCTCGAACCGTTTCGCAGCCGTCTCAAGGCGATCGAGCGGTCGACTTCATCAACTGGATTGCCTTCTCCCTCCGATCTAGGACAGCGGGTTGGGCTAGGCTATGTGGCAATCCGGTGTCGTGGCTGGATGTGTCGATGGCGGATCACTTTGGCGACCCGAGATGTGAATTCGACACGTTCAAGAACTGGCTGGGGAGGGCCCCGAAGTTTTTCGGACGTACGAATACTTGGTATGGTCTGTTCTATACTATCGACACGGAATGGAACCTCAACGTGCCGGCGGAATTATACGGGCGCCACCCTTGGATCGCGGTGGTGCGACCGGCCAACCCGCATTTGTCGAAGTATTATGAGAAGATACAGCTTTTTATCTGGGATTTATCGGCTCAGGATAGGGAGAATAGCCGCGGGCATACGTCGCTTCTCCTCGACATGCAGAAGCACCTGGTAGACGTGGTTAGGGAGGAGATTACGACGAAAAACAAACGGTACTATCTCGACCAAGTCTACATCGCTAGCACGACGAAACTGAAGCGCCTGCCGAGCGAGACGGCAGTAGAATTTACCCGCCGTAGGCTCCTGGAAATGCTGGACGATGGCAAATCCTGGCTACCCCCTTTTGACCACCTTATGTCCTCTGTCGGATGGATAAGCCTCCCCAAGTCGGAGTGGCAACAGGGCATGACTACTAAGCTCGCGGAGGCCCAATCGGTGCAGCGGCGAAGGAGCTTCCCGAGGCATGCTGGCGACGAAGACAAACCGCAGAGGTTGATCTGGCACGCGCCGCGGCCGAAAACGCAGGGGGAGAAGTCTAAGTGCATCAACAACCTGTACGAAGCCGCGTTTCGCGTCCGGGAGAAGGACGGATCGCGCCAAGGCATGCGGTATCAATACAAACCCACGCTAGAGTGGTATCACGACATGAAAGCGGAGGGCCGGGATTCCAGCCAGGTGAACGTGGATAGCGCGGACAGGATCTTGTCTCGGCTACGTCAGAAGAGGCCGTAACGCTTGTCACGACGGCAACGACTCGGCTATACATACGATGCGCGGTTTTTTTTGCACGCGGATGGACTACAGGTTTATTTTATTGTTGGGATACTGGAGAGGGCGGGCGCGAAGGGAACGGGAGGGAGGACCAGCAGCCGAAGCTGGGCATTCCCAACGTCATGGAACTGGGTGTCTAGGGTAGGCAGTTACGCGTAGAGGAAGTACGCGTACTTTTTATGAGGTACTACTCTGACTACGACTACGACTACGACCACCACTACTATAGTCTCTATCCGTTGATGCATATATGCGTATGTAGGTTAGGGTGGAAGAGATGGGAGGTGGAGGGGAGAATTCGCACCCCTTCCCCCCCCTTTTCTTCCGTCGATAAGTTGGTCAAGTTGGTGTGTTGAATGCAGGTCAGGTAGATGGCATGCTAGGTATCGTGTACATACATACCTCTGGTAGCCATATAATACGGAGTCGCATAGCTACAACTGGGAAAAACCCCCACTTTTCGGTCGAGCGCCCCAGTTTTATCGTCTATACATACGCCCCCAATAGGAGGAGGTATGTATGTTTGATGCAAGTCCCCGATAGCTTGATATTGTATTCGTAGTAGCTTGTATATGTACGAATAGAGTTCTAGGCTATCGCTTTATGAGCTATCGAGTCGGATATTTTATATAGGTTTATATATAAACGATTTATTCTCATAAAAAGCCGGAAAAAATTAAAAAAAATCGGAAATTTACTTAAGTAATTAATTAGTTTAATTAAAATAATATATAGATTTTTCGAATTTTCTACTTACTAATATAAGAAGTTATATACGATTTAAAGTTTTTTAAAATTATACTAATAGTTTCCTATATAATTTATTAATAACTTTATTAACTATACTAATATCGATATATTTACTTATTTTTTTACGGTAATGAAGTAGGTCTATTACCTAATACTTTATTTTATAAATAGAAAAATGGCTAGTATTAAGTAATCTTATTTTTATTTCTTATTTTCGTTTTTATTTAATTTATTATTTTAAGAAAACTACGTTTTTAAATAGGTTCAAACTTTCTAAAATCGTACCTATTTTATAGTAAGAATTCTACCTTTCTAACTATCCTATTTTTTTATATAAAGAGGTTTTAAAAAAGAATACTAAAAATTAACATTTTTAAGACTTAATTAATTTAATGAAAATTAAAAAAAAAAGTTAACGTAATGTTAACCATGATTTCATTTATAGTATAAAGGATTAAGTAATATACCTACTTTATTACTGTAAAAGAAATAAGTTAAGAGGCTGATATAAAATATAGTTAATAGATTTATTAATAAATTATATAGCAAATTATTAGTATAGTTTTAAAAAACCTTAAATCGTAAATAATTTCTTATATTACTAAGCGAAAAATCCGAAAAATTTATATGTTGATTTAATCAAGCTAATTAATCACGTAAGTAAATTTTTAATTTTTCCGAATTTTTTCCGGCTTTTTATGAGAATAAATCGTTTATATATAAACCTATATAAAATACCTAGCTCGCGAAGGGGTAGTCTAACTTACCTATTAGCCGACCCAACCAGAGGGTAGCTCCTTCCCTACGTGTAATTGAATATTCAACCTGCACCTTCCTACCTACCACACCCCTAGGGTGTACGTACCGAAAAGTGGAGTTTTTTCCCAGTTGTAGCTATGCGACTCCGTAATATAACATGCACCGGATGTACAACGTGGGTGAAATGGTGGCACGTGAGTGTTACCCAGCGTAACCTCGCGAAGAGGTGTGACTCGGTTATGTTAGGTACTACCCCCTGTACCGCCTGTAGGTAGGCACCTAATAGATCCCATTGTTAGAGGCCTGAGATCAATATACGGTACCCAACATTCGAGCACGGCGCTTGAAACAACTAATTTTAGGGGCTGAGCTGAGGCTGGGAATCTGACACGCGGCGGATATTCTTATACCGACACAAACCGGTATAGGGGGGAGTATTAAGAAGGAGCAGAGCATACGCGATACTAATGTCCCGTATAGCTTATATAAAAGTATACTCTATCGGTAACTATTGAACAGGAGCAGCGTAGGCACGCTGTGATGGAGGCACGAAAAGGACTACCCAACTACCAACAACTGGCCCAGTGCCGATCAACCAAGATCACAGCTGTAAACAGCTGTAATCGGTTGATCGGCCAGCTAAAAACGGCAGCTGGGAAAGGGGACTAGAAAAGGAGGCAACGAGGATGGCTAGAAAGGCATGGCAAGAAACGAGTGAATGGCTGTAGGCTATGATATCTATAGGTCTAAGTCTAACTGATGAAAATATAAGTGCGCGACTCATATAAATATACATCGAAAAGGCTACGTGGCCTAGATCCACCGCACTACTACACTATAATACGTACGATAATCTAGGATAAATAAAATTAATATTACTTTATTAATCGAAAGATAAGAAATTCGATGCGATTATCGTATCTTAAGTTTATTTTTTAGTTATAAAGATATAATAACTACAAACACGAAGGTAAAAAAAGTAAGGAAAGGAAAGAAGCTAAACGTAAAAGTTATTTATTTAGTTATTATGGTACGACAAAGTAACTTGAGCGCTCGTAATTAAGATAGATATACTAATCAGAAGATAATGAATATAATAATAAAAACGAATCTTAAATTAAAGTAAAAATAGTAAAGTTAGTAATATAACTTAGTAATAATTATAATATAGTACGTACTTCGGAAGCTATAGTTACTTTATATAAGTATAAGGCTTATTGTAGCATATTACGTAATATATTTAAAAGGTATGTCTTATCGTACTATTATAATACGTTACGAACCTAATCGGGAACGTATCAATCAACGTAAAAATTTATATAAACGATACCGCAATATATAAATAAAATAAATATTAGATAAAATAGTGTCACGTAGAGGTGGCTCCTTAGGTTGCTCCTTTTCGTTACTTACCTTAGTAACAGGAGCTCTTATATATTCGCTTTGTTACTTCTACTCCTTTAATTTATTTTTAAATAGATCTAAGACCTTTTCTCGCCTTTCGCTCCTCCTCCCGTTGCTAGTGAGATAGCTCTCTGCGCGCACTCTCGCGTACGTAGCTCCTTCATAAAGCTACGTGATAAATAGCTTAAGAATATTTATAGTGAACAGGAGCAGCGTGGGCACGCTAATAGAGGCACGAAATAAGGACTGCCTAACTGCTAACAACTAGCCCAGTACCGATCAACCTAGATTATAGCTGTAAATAGTTGTAATCGGTTAATCGGCTAACTGAAAACGGCAGCTAGGAAAGGGGGGATAGAAAAGGAAGGTAATAAGGTAGCTAGAAAGGCATAGCAAGAAACGAGTGAATAGCTGTAGGTTGTGAACACTACAGGTCTAAGTCTAACTGATGAAAATATAAGTGCGCGACCTATATAAATACGCATCCAAAAGGCTACGTAGCCTAGATCCACCGCACCACTACAATAGGAATAGAAATAAGAATAGAAACGCCTAAAGACTCTTCTTATTACCTTTATCGATGTATAGTTCGTAAAAAAACCGTAATAAGCCTTAGAACTACGTATAAAGGAAGGATTAAAAGTTAAGGGAAGCCCAGTAGATACTGCCGGACGTATAAGAATAATTATATAAGAATAATTATAGAAATAATCAAGCATTAAATGGGATATATTACGTTAATTTATAAAATTAGGATTAGTTAAGAGGATTGATAGTTATAAATAACAAAGGCCTTATACCTATATAAAGTAACTATAGCTCCCGTAAGTACGGGCTATGCCATGCTTATCATCTAGTTCATTACCTAACTAGATTACTATCTTTACTATTTTTACCTTAATTAAAGATTCGTTTTTATTATTAGATTCGTCGTTTTCCGATTAGTATATCTATCTTGGTTACGAAGGCTTAAGTCGCTTTGTCGTACCATTATAGCCGAATAAGTAATGTAGTAGTGCGGTGGATCTAGGCTACGTAGCCTTTTCGATGTCTATTTATATGGGTCGCGTACTCATATTTTCATCAGTTAGACTTAGACCTGTAACTATCACAGTAGCCATCAGCTATTTACTCCTTTTGCCATGCCTTTTCTCGCCTTCTTCGTTACCTTCCCTCTTTTAGTCCTTTCTCAGCTGCCGTTTTCAGCTAGCTAATCAACAGATTACAGCTGTTTACAGCTGTGATCTAGGTTGATCGGTACTGGGCCAGTTATTGGTAGTTAGGTAGCCCTTTTCGTGCCTCTATTACAGTGTGCCCACGCTGCTCCTGTTTAGTAACTTTTACGTTTAATTACTTTTCTCCCCTTACCTCTTATACATTCGAGCTAGCGACTACTACATCTCTACGACTAAGAAGTATACCTAAGATACGATAATTACATTAAATTCCTCGTCTCTCGATTAGTATAATGATATTAGTTTTATCCGTGTTAGACTATCGTACGTATTATAGTCTTCGATAGAGTATACTTTCGAGTAATGTAGTAGTGCAGTAAGATATATCCTCTTGATATATTATGTAATACGTTACGATAGGCCTTATACCTATGTAAAGTAATTATAACTCTTATAAATACGAGTTATACTATACTTATTATCTAAATTATTACTTAATTAGATGATTATCTTAATTATTTTTACCTTAATTAAAGATTCGTTTTTATTATTAGGTTTATTATTCCCTGATTAATATATCTATCTTAATTATAAGCGTTTAAGTCGCTTCGTCGTACCGTTATAACCAAATAAGTAACTTTTACGCTTAGCCCCTTTTCTTCTTTTACTTTTTATACCTTCGGGTTAGTAATTACTATATCTCTACGACTAAGAGGTATACCTAAGATATAATAACTATATTAGATTCCTTGTTTCTCGATTAATATAGTAATACTAGTTTTATCTATCCTGAACTATCGTACGTACTATAGTCTTCAATAGAGTATACTTTCGAGTAAGTCTATCCGGGACTCTAGTATCGCGTACGCTCTACTCCTTCTCAGTAAGCCTATTGTAGTGGTGCGGTGGATCTAGGCCACGTAGCCTTTTCGATGCGTATTTATATGGGTCGCGCACTCATATTTTCATCAGTCAGACTTAGACCTATAGGCATCACGACCTTACAGCTATTCACTCGTTTCTTGCCATGCCTTTTCTCACCATTCTCGTTGCCTTCCTTTTCTAGTCTCCCCTTTACTAGCTGCCGTTTCAGCTGGCTGATCAACCGATTACAGCTGTTTACAGCTGTGATCTAGGTCTAATCGGCACTGGGCTAGTTGTTGGCGGTTAGGCAGTCCTTTTCTCGTGCCTCCATCACAGCGTGCCCACGCTGCTCCTGTTCACTATCCGGGACTCCAGCATCGCGTACGCTCTGCTTCTTTTCAATAATTTTTATTAACTATTTTTTCTAATCCTTTCCTTCGATAATAATATCGATACTTATAAATATTTCTTCGCGCCTTAAGGCTAGGACGCCGTATTGTAATAATTTAATAACTCATCGTTAAGGTAATCGAGGATATTATTTAACTACGTTTTTATTTAAGCGATATATAATATAATCGTTATTATAATATACCGTTTAATTATAACATACGTAGTCGATATTTCTCTTTTCCATAGTTCTTATTATTACTTTTACGTTCTCTTTCTATAGAGTTTTTATTTCCGGAACCTTTCGATTAGATTTATATTTATTTTTATAATATCTAAGTTTTCTATAATTAAAATATTTAATCTTACTTTTATCCTTTTTTTCCTTTTCCTTTTTCATAACGTCGATATCCATTAATCTAAAGTAAGTTTCTAAAGTAATACTTTGGGACTTAGGCTTATTTCGTCGCTCAAGTAGGATATAAATAGATCCTTTTTTATCTTCTTATTTATATTTATATTATCAATTATCGATTTTTATCATTACCTATATGAATTCTTTAAGAATATCTAGGTAATCTAACCAGTATATCTTATCTTTAATTCTTTTCTTTAATCCGTTATAGAATATTCTAATTAAGGCCGTATTATGGTAATTAGTCTTTGCCGCTTAACTTTTAAATTTAATAGCGTAAATATAAGCTTATTTAATTTAAATTAAACTCTTTAGCCTTCGTTCGGTTATTCGAGTTTTATTTAAGTCTCTGAAAATCAGTTTAATCTTTCATTTGAATACTTTATAGGTTTTAAAGATAATCTTCATTTCTTTCTTTATTTTTTGAGGATTTTATTTATTAATTAAGAAATCTTTAATAATAAACGCGAACTAATTATTAGCCTTATCTATAAGGCTTTAAATTATAGTTAAGATTTATTAATCAGATTTCGTAAGATATTTCTCGTAGAAGTATAGGAATATTTTTCCCTAAATAAGGAATCCTTTTAAATTTCCGAAGCTATTATAGCTCTAAGGTTATTTCGGTTTATACCCCTTAACGTTCGACGGTATTATAAGGTTACTACCGCTTATTAGTATTAGACTTCCTAACGTAAATATCTTGTTAGCGTTATCGTCGTCGATACCTATATCTTTAAGGTTTTATGTTAATTCTATTCCTTTTCTTTTGAGGCTTTCTACTTATCTGGGGTTACGAGGATCGTTCTTTAGTAGCCTTTCGTCCCCAGAAGAAGTTAAACTTCCTAATAAGCTATAATATATTAAGGTTCTTAGTTATTCTTCTAAAGGATTACTTTTTAATTACCATTCTTTTTAAGGGGTATTACTTATTTCTTTTCGTTACTTAATTTTAAAATGAAATAATTATTAAAATATTATAACCGTATTACACTTATTAATAATAACAAGTAATATAAGTACTTATTTTGATATATTAAGGAATCGATTATAAGTTGTATAACTTATACTTTATGTACTTTTTAATCTTACGATTGAAGGTACGTATTAAAAGTAAATTATATACTTAAGAGTAAAAAGTTAGATAAAGATTAAGAAAGAAAGAAATCCATTAGTTTATTTATATAAACCTCTTTATTTAACGAGCGTAGTACTTCTAACTTCTGTAGTACAGCTAAAGGCCGTACCTGCATTCTTAAGCCGTAGAGCGTAATTAAAATCCGGTACGGCCTTAGGCCGTATTATCTTAACGCCTCCATATCTTCTACAATATTAAAGGATATAATAAAAGGATTAATGCTAATTAAGCTGGTTAAAATAACTAAATAAGTGAAATAAGTAATTTAAAATATTAAAGAACGAGCAGTAATAACGGAAACCTAACTTAAGGAAGCAACTGATAAAATTAAGTAGTTAATTCTATTAAAGAAAATCTTCCTAAACCTAATAGCCGAGTTATCACAAAAAAGACTATCAATTATCTAAAAAGTTAACGGATTAAATACTAAAAACGATTAATGAAAACTAATTAACATATATCTAAGCTTTATTAAAAATAGCGAAACTAATTTCTCAGAGCTACAATTTATATAGTGTTACAGAGTAGTTGAACCAGCCTATATAAGCCTACATACCGTAAAGCGTAAATGTAGGCGTCTACATTTTACGCGATAGTTATAAGCCCGGTTAGCGCTCTAAGGTACTTTAGCTTAGTAGTTCGGTTCCTTTAATTACCCGTATACGGGCGCGGTAAGCGTAGCCCCTTGCGCGGTAAAGCCCTAGAGCTAGACTAGAACTAGTAGTAAGGCGTTACGCTAAGAGGTAGGGGGTTTAATTCTTTACGAGGGGCCCTAAAAAGAGGCAGTCGGACGTTGGCAGTTATTACTTACCTACTAAGGTGTTTAAAAACTAGGGGGTGTGTCACGGAGTAGTTGAACCAGCCTATATAAGCCTATATACCGTAAAGCGTAAATGTAGGCGTCTACGTTTTACGCGACATATAGTAAAATAATTCGGATCTAAATTAGGATAGGAATCGTATCACACTAAGTGAATATATAAATATTATAGTTTTATTAAAAGCAGACGAAACTTAAGTCTTTGATTATAATAAAAACCTATAATATAGTAGTGCGGTAAGACATACTCTCTTAATACATTACGTAATACACTACGATAGGCCTTATACCTATATAAAGTAACTATAGCTTCCGTAAATACGGATTATATTATAATTATTACTTAATTAAATTATTAACCTTTACGTTTAGCTCCTTTTCTTTCTTTATTTCTTTTACCTTCGGGCTAGCAATTACTATATCTTTATAATCAAGAGATATATTTAAGATACGATAACTATATTAGATTCTTTGTTTTTCGATCAATAAAGTAATACTAGTTTTATTTATTTTGGATCATCGTATGTACCGTAGTTACCGATAGAGTATACTTTCAAATGAGTTATCTGAGACTTTAGTATTACGTACGCTTCACTCCTTTTTAATATTATAGTAGTGCGGTAAGACATACCCTCTTAATGTATTACGTAATACGTTACGATAGGCCTTATACCTATATAGAGTAACTATAGCTCCCGTAAGTACGGGCTATATTATATTTATTATCGAGTTTATTACTTAGTTAGATTATTATCTTTATTATTTTTATCTTAATTAAGCATTTATTTTTGTTATTACATTCATCGTTCTTTGATTAGTATATCTATTTTAGTTATAAGCATTTAAGTCGCTTCGTCGTACCGCTATTGCCACGGTTTTACGAGCTGTTCGCTGAGTAAAAGCCGTATATTGATGAACTAAAGCTAGACGAGGAGAAAAAGGAGAAAAAATATGCGCTGTGTAGGCCGCACTTGTAATAGCTGGCCTTATCCCCCGTAGGTACTGACGGCCTGATTATGTGCTGTGCCCTAGCACTAGATGGGCATAGCCCATTACAGCTATAGCCGAATAAGTAACTTTTACGCTTAGCCCCTTTTCTCCCTTTACCTCTTATGCCTTCGGGCTAGCGACTATTACATTTCTACGACTAAGAGGTATACCTAAGATATAATAATTACATTAGATTCCTCGTTTCTTAATTAATATAATAATATTAGTTTTATCTATCTTAGACTATTATACGTATTATAGTCTTCGATAGAGTATACTTTCGAGTAAGCCTATCTGGGATTTTAGTATCCCCTACGCTCTGCTCCTTTTTAATATGCTACAGTTTTATTAGATATATCTCCTTTAAGCAGGCTATACGAACTTTTAGCTAATAAAAACAGAGTATCTTTTAAGAGACTCTGCATTTATAGAGTTATTTACAAGGTTATTTATAGAGTTATTTACAGAGTTATTTTTACAAGGGAATTACCCCTGTAAATTAATTAGTATGACAGGGGGTTTGACGTATTATAACTATCCTTCAGATAGGAATTAAGGTAACTATCTATCTTGGTACTCCTTATAGTAAACGCCCTTTTCTCCTCTTGAGGATTGCTTATATAATGCTGATTACGTGATCACCATACACTCCATCTGCCCCCCCCCCCCCCCCCCTAAAATCCACAACACATATTCTGGGACTGCACCGCTTAAGTATAACCTGCCTACCACCTACTTACTACTCTTACCTTACCTGCAATTCGACCAGCTCCGTCGACAGAATCAGAATCCTCCAAGAGGTTGATAGCGGGAAAAAAAATTTACTACAACACCGGACACGCCTCCCGAACCCCGTCCCTTCGGATATCCCGTCGACACCTAAACCAAGGTTCCTTTTTTGCACCGCAACGCATCGCCACTCCTCGATCTTTGTGGCTGCCTCTTATATACATTCATCTCCAGAGCCGTCTCGCACACACTCGCCGCCTCTTTTTCTTCCCGTTATTTCCTCTTCTTCTCCCTCTTCTTTCATCCATTACCACCAGATTCCTCCCCCTCTCTCCCGTCCACGCGAAACCGCAAATCTAACGACGCTACCCCTCAACCGAAAGCCCACCGCCCATCATGGCCAACGATGAATACGACGTGAGCCTGTTCCCCCCGAATCCTCCCCCCCCTCTCCCCAGGCAGGATTTGATCGTCGTTGGAACCTGAGGCTAACCGAGGCTTATCGCTACTGCAGTTCCTCTTCAAAGGTGCAGCAGCCCCATCCGCCCACCGCTCGAGCTCCCCCGACGCGTTGGTACTAACAATCCTGCAACTCTAGTGGTGCTGATCGGGGACTCGGGTGTCGGCAAGTCCAATCTGTTGAGCCGATTCACCCGGAACGAATTCAACCTGGACTCGAAGTCGACCATTGGCGTTGAGTTCGCGACCCGATCCATCCAAGTCGACTCCAAGACGATCAAGGCGCAGATCTGGGATACCGCTGGCCAGGAGAGATACCGCGCCATCACGTCCGCCTACTACCGGGGGGCCGTCGGCGCTCTACTCGTCTACGACATCAGCAAGCACCAGACCTACGAGAACGTCATAAGGTGGCTCAAGGAGCTTCGCGATCACGCCGACGCCAATATCGTCATCATGCTAGTCGGCAACAAGAGCGATTTGAGGCACCTGCGAGCTGTGTCGACGGACGAGGGCAAGGTGTTTGCGAGTACGTACATGATGTGCCCTCCCCCTAGTCAACTAAGCCTCTGTCGTGACGCTGCCTGGATTGCTGACGTGGGACGTCCCCAGGTGACAATCACCTATCCTTCATAGAAACTTCGGCCCTCGACGCCAGCAATGTCGAGCTCGCCTTCCAGAACATCCTGACCGGTACGTCTTTACACCCCGAGGCGGAACTTACGAGAGCGCTAGTGAGGGCAGGGCCAGCAAATTCTGACCGCTTCTTTTTTTTTCGTCTAGAAATCTATCGCATCGTTTCGAGCAAGGCGCTGGACAGTGGTGAGGGTGCCCAAGCCCCGATGGCAGGCACCAACATTTCGCTGAGCAAATCGCCCGATGACGGGGCAAAGGAGGGCGGCAAGTGCTGTTAAACCAGGGCATTACGCGCACGCGAGCACGTACGCAAGCACGCAGGGGGGGCAGTGGGCGGAGACGGATGACAGGACGGTTATACGGCTGGTATGATGATGTTTGCGTGCATGGCGTCACGTATTGTCCGGGAGACGCTCTGCGGGAGGGTTGACGAGAGACACGGACATGACGGGTTTTCGGGACGCACGCTGAGCTTCGGCCGGGAAGGGCTTCTTCATCTCCTGTTTTTCCGCCACGCCTTCCGATTTTTACTACTTTTTCTTGGGTTTCTGTCTCTCGATCATGATAATGATGGTTTGTGCGCTGTCGTAGTGTTGAGATTTGACAACCTCGGGGCCGCAGAAACATGCCTTACCAGCTAACGCGTCCGCCGTAGTCAACTAAATGCCATTACTTGCGCCATTCTCGCCCATGTTAATTAACATAATACAAACGGCTCGGGATTTCTAAAACCGTTGTCCTATGCCAAGGGGTTATGGCCGCGGGCACTCTCCCCGTCTATAAGGCCCATCCTGTTAGGTGCTGTCTAGTCATCGTCAACCGGTGTATGTGTGGTGTGTAGGTGCCAAAGGTGCTACGCGTGTATGTATACGGACGTATACAAACGCTGAGCTGACGGTCACCTGTATCCGAGGGGACGATGCGGAAAAGCCGTTAGCCCCAGCTATATCACCTAGCCTCGTACTCTCCCCTTTCCCGTACTTGTGATTGCTCACTTCTCGAGTAGGGGAGTTTTAGGCATATGACGCTCACACCTCTCATGTCTCATATCTACCAACGCAGGCGCCCATTTGTCTATCTATCTACATCTACGGGAATACGTGGATATATATAAATAGAGAGAGAGAGAGCGCACGTTCGTATGAGCGAATGAATGCGCCTACGAGGTACGTATGGAGGGAAGGCTACATGCCTATAGGAATACCTGTATAGGAGGTAGGAAGGTAGGCATAATATAATACGGAGGTGAGGAGGAACCGAGCTGAGCTGGCCTTCATGCGATGGGCACCTAATCTAGGGAGTACCTAAGTACCTAACTTTAGGTAACCTCATCACCCTTTGCAGGTGATGTGTCTATGACGCGAGGTTGTGCACAATGGAGATGTACCTAGGTACAAAAGGCAGATACCTGCAAAAAGGGATAGAAATAGATGAATGAAGAACAGGTACCAGATACCTAGGTACCTAGGTAGGTATCTCTGTATTTCGCTATAGTAGAACTTGAACCTTCCCAAACCCCAAAACTTACTCCGGGGATTTATCTCTTATCGATAATTCTTATCGAAAAAAAAGTTCAACCTGGATATCTGAAGGTCGGTCATCTCAACTAGACCGAAGAAGCGTCTTCTAACTGCAACCCGCCCACGCATACGAACCAACCAACCAACCGGAAATGGCCGCGGTATACAAATCCCTGTCGAAGGGCGTCAACGGCCAGAAGAAGGCGGCAGCGGCGTCGCACGACCGCGACGAAGACAACGGCGCGGCGGCCAAGACGAGTGCCAGCAAGACCAAGCAGCGGGTGCTGGTCCTGTCATCGCGCGGCGTCACGTACCGGCACCGGCACCTGCTCAACGACCTGGCGTCCATGCTGCCGCACGGCCGGCGCGACGCCAAGTTCGACTCCAAGTCGCGGCTTGCCGGGCTCAACGAGCTCGCCGAGCTGTACAACTGCAACAACGTGCTCTTCTTCCAGGCGCGCAAGGGCACCGACCTGTACTGGTGGCAGAGCAAGGTGCCTAACGGCCCCACCGTCAAGATGCATCTGCAGAACCTGCACACGATGGAAGGTGAGTTTATTTTACCCGTCGGAGCCTGTTTGAAGTAGCCGCAACGGCGACGGCGACGGCGACGGCGATGCTGACCTTCGTCCACCTCTTCCTCCTCGCGCAGAACTCCACTTCACCGGCAACGCGCTCAAGGGCTCGCGCCCGATCCTGTCCTTCGACGCCGCCTTCGAGCGGGAGCCGTACCTGCGCGTGATCAAGGAGCTGTTCCTGCACACGTTCGGGGTGCCACCGGGCGCGCGGCGCTCCAAGCCGTTCGTCGACCGCGTCATGGGCTTCTCGCTCGCCGACGGCAAGATCTGGGTGCGGAACTACCAGATCAAGGAGACCGAAGCCGCCGCCACCACCACTTCCTCCTCGAACGACGCCGAGCAACGAGACGACAGCAGCCACAGCAGCAAGGGCAGGGGCAGCCGCGACCCCGAGGTCAGCCTCGTCGAGATCGGGCCCCGGTTCGTGCTGACGCCCATCGTGATCCAAGAGGGCGCGTTCGGCGGGCCGATCATATACGAGAACCGCGCGTTCGTGTCGCCGAACCAGGTGCGGGCGGAGCTGCGCCGCGGGCGCGCCGCGCGGCATGACTCCCGGGTCGAGAACCGCATTGGGCGGCTCGCGCGGCACGGTGAGCTCGGCCTCCGGACCGGCGTGGCAGCGGTGAGGAAGAAGGGGCGCGAGGGTGAGGAGGAGCGGATCAGGGAGGAGCTGGATTCGAGGAAGCTGTTCGCTTGAGCTGTATATATATACCTACACGCATGCTTACACTGGCGTTCGGGCGTCCTAGATGAGATATCCGTCGATGAGAAAAAGAAATTGGGAATTCGGGCCTCGGCGGAGGCCGTGGTATTGGCTGCGTCTGCGCGCTGACTAGGTCGCGGGTTTTGGGTGCGTGCATGCTGCGTGTCGAGAGCGAGAATCAGCGACGCTCTCGCCGCCGCCCCTGAACACGTTGTGTGAACGCAGCTGCCTCTTGGCTTCCGACGCGAACACCTCACTGCCAAGAGACAACACGACTGCGTCCTGGGGGCGGGATAGGTACCTGTACCTTAGGTCGATAACCGGCCAGCAGCATTGAGCCTGTAGGCGTGCTTACGGATACAAGAGATCTGTTTCGACAGAAGCTCTAGGGGGGAGATAGACTAAACAATAGAGACTACCAAGTAGCGCTGTCAGGAATCGAACCTGTCCTCTATTATCTAACCCACTGAGCTGGGGGTACGTACTAAGCTTAGGTACCTCTATATAGGTACCTAAGGTACTTAGGTACACCTGCCATGTATTCCCTTAGGTACCTCCAATATTTGAGGGCAGCCAACCTCGCCTGGCTCCAAACGTTGACCTCTTCTCTTCTTCCTTTCCCCCTCCTCCCCGTCAGAACACACACCGAGATGAGTGCGCCACGCCGGGATCCCGCCTCAATGGAGGCCAACCCGCAGCAGCCCCAGATGCAGCTGTTCGTTCTTCGTTTCCAGTATAGCCCCAAAGGAGGGGTCCTCGCAGATTGAGTCGCGTGACTCTGCTGCCCCCGAGGTCGACTTGGGGGGCTGGTGATAGGTTAGGTGGTAGCAGACGGCCACGGGCGGAGCTGCCGCCGGCCGGGCACGAGCATTATCTCGACACGTAGCCTGCCCTTGTCGATTGCGGCGCGTGAGCGGGAGGAGAGCGGGAGGAGAGGAGAGGCAGAAGCCGCGACGTCAGTCGGAGGGGACGTCGGGTATTGCTCTAGGTACGCGCTGGAAGATCACGGCCAATCTCGTCGTCGCCTGTCCGCGGTAGCACGGCTCCCTACGTTACCGAGGGACCGATAACCCTCCGCTGCCAATACAATCGCCGCCACTACGAAGGAAAGAATCCCGGGGCTAGGCTCGAGTGTAAGGCCCGCCGCTTTCATAGCGCCGCCGTGAAAGGTACCTGTAGCCTTTCTCGGCTGGGCTTCACCCTGCTACTCGGCATAGGAGGATCGTGGCACACAATCCCCCTTTCGCGGACGAGACCCTCACTCCAGAGTTGAGAGTCTTCGTTGAACAATTGAAAGGGGCGAGAGACCCTCCTAAGACCAGAATTGCGAGATCCTGTGGGGCTTCCTCTCGACCGCGTCCACCACTGCCTCGATCACATTACCAAACTCTTCAACCTGTTGTCTTTTCATCCTTTCTCTTCATTTCCCCGAGCTGGGTCACGAACCCACCACCCGCACCGAGCCTTTTCAACAACTCTAACCTATTTTTCGTCATGGATGTGTCCCCCTGCCTTCCCTGTCGTGCGCCTGGCCGGTATACGGGCATCTGGAGCATGCCACCCGAGCTCATCATCAAATTCATGGAAGAGATGTCTCCTTCTGACCTCGAGAACTTCATTCGCGCGCATAAGAGGCTGTGGAAGATCTTCGAGGAGGGGGCAGACCGCGATTCCTTGATGGCGAGGGTGTTGAAGAACCAACCAGAGTTCGAGACGATCCTCTACATTTACACTGCTCAGCACAACGAGAATCATCCCGACCGCATGCTACACCCGCGAACGATCAATCTGGCTTTGGGGAGAGGCCGCAAGCTTACCTTGATGCACGGGGTCAGTGCTAATCGCCGCCGTAACCGCAATAAGACGCGAACCCAGCACCCACTCGACATCACCGTGGGCATCTACGACCTTGCAAGGCTGTGGAAGATGACGACCATCGTCGATTGGTGGGTGGCTATCTATCCGATGCTACGGTGGAGGGAGGCTCCCGAGGAGCGTCGTTGCTTGCGGCCCAACGAGGAAGCTCGTCTGCGAAAGGCCGTTGCGCGTTGGTGGCTCTACGCTTTTCATCACCACACGCGCTTTCGTCGGAACTCGCGGGCCCCCGAGATGTGGTCATTCGATACGAGATTGTACCACTTACGCATAATGTCCACCACCGAGATCCGCGAGTTGGAGGATGTCTGGGAGCTCTTGTTTGATGCGGTGAGCAGAGACCTCTGCTCGTCTGTTGAGCTGGTTTGTGCTTGCGAGGTAGGTCTATCGCATTGGAGTCGGATCGGATTTTTTTTTCTCCTTTCGTTTGCATACTAAGCGGCCTACAGCATGGGCTCGTCCCTGATCTCGTACCTTGGGGCCACGGCGAAGGGCGCCATAATAAGATTGTGGAAACCTATCTCAAGCTGGACCCCTGCCAGCTTCGGCAGATTTTAACGGCATTCTCGGGCGGCTTCCAGAAGGAAGCCATCGTTATGCATGCGTCGGCGAGCATCGGGCATTTCCCCGCTGACCGCGAGACGCTGTCAACGTCGATCCACAAGGTCCTCCGGGAGCGGGTGCTAGCTCGCGGCATACATGACGTCGGTCAGCTCCCGCGCATGGGCATTGTCGACGAGGACAGAGACGACGAGCAGTCGTTGGCCCGGTGGATTGACGACGCGTGGCCGGACGGATTCGCCCCTTTGTCGGCGGAGAAGCTCTCCACGTTTCCCCTCGAGCCTTTGGCCATGGTCCCTCGAGGCGACGACGGCAGCGACGAGAACTTGCCGTGGTAGAATCGGGCGGAAGCGATGGGTTGTGCGAGCGACTACGTGATTTGCTGGGCGGCATGACAATCCGAGGCGGAGACGCCTGATCATGCGTATCGTGCGTCGCACGTATTACGCTTGACGCAGGACAGACACGATGCTTTGCGCCGTCACGCAGATGCCGCAGGGGGTGGACGGATGGCGGATCCCATTCCGATAGCTTAGCTAGCTGCTTGTTCGTCTCCCTCCGCTGCTGGCCACGGGGAGTGAAATGGCTAGACACATTCTCGTCGCGACTGGTACCGTGATCGGGTTCGACGTAGAGATATACCGTAGGAATGTAACCGGTTCGCTGTCTTCTTATCTTGGGGTAGCTAGACAATAGGTCGGTCAGAGCGGCGTTATGTAGGTAGGTAGGTAGTGACCGATCGATCCCGTCTTCCGGTGCCGCCCTGCCCAGAGTTGTGCTGGACCGGATCTTACTCGCTGGAATTGCCGCCGTAAGCCCGCTGTACGATTAGCGGAGGAGGCGCTGAGACAGGTACCTACCAGGTAGGTAGGGCCAGTGGTATTGTACCTAAGGTCAGCAGCACTTTAGGCAGGGCAAGGTATCTTGTCGTAAGTGCTTGATCGATAGCCGGTACCTCGGGTACCACACCAATACTGCGGCGAGTCGTACGTTGGGCACGGCGTCGCGTAGGTACCTTGGACGGGCGGCGGGTACTTGGATACAAAGTCGGTGCCCTATCAGCATCTGCCTTACCGGCTCCTTTGCACGCTGCAGAGGTGACAATAATACACGATACATCCTCCATAACAAGAACAAACTGAAGCTCCCCCTGCGTCTTCGAAATACACACACGCACACTTACAACCGCCCTGCCAGTTATCTCACCACGCCGCGCCGCGCGACACGACGCCATCCTACGGGATCGCCAGATCTCACCGGGTCGTTTCTCGAGAGCCAACGGCCATCGGCACCGCCTCGGGGCTTTCCCTATTCATGTAGGTGACCTTGTTTATCCTCGCCGCATCCAGGAGGCTGGCCTGGCCTGGCCTGGCCTGCCACATCCCGTCGACAAGCCACACTTACATACCAAATTCCCGAGTGCGAGTAGAGTAGGTTGTCGGCCCCGTTCGACCACGTGCCTCCTTCGCCATCCCCTCTGTTTTTCTTTATTGCTTTTGCTATGAGTGCATGTCGCGGTGAACGGGGCATGTATAAAGGCGGCGCGGCGGCATGGGCCGAAGCGGGTCGTCCTTTTGCAGCAGACCTACTACATCCTCTGGGTCCTTCTCTCGCGAACCACCGAATCCGTGTCGGCTCAGGTTCTCCCATCTTGTCAGCACGCGCGGGTGAGAGCGTCATCTCGCGTACCTCGCACGCTCTCATCTGGCGGATGCGCACGGGTCGGCCGGTCCGGCTAACAAGCTCTTAGGTTACCACCGCACTCCGCTCTCTCCAGGCCGTCTCTCCTCGCGGCGATCTCGTAAGTAAAAGCAGCCGTGGGCATGCAAAGTATCAACCTCCCCGAGACATCTGGTTCCACGCGTGCTTCCAGGTCTAGGCTAGCCTTCATCAACTAGTCAAGGCACGCGTCTTCGGGGATCTCCTGTCCCCTTACCAGCAGTCTCAGGAGACGAACGGCATCTGCCTCCTAGCTATCGATCAGCCCCACACCGAGAGCTGCCGACGGAAGGGTCAGTCCTTCGGCACGGCCGGACTCGTTGGCATCATGGAAGGCGAGGATCAGTCTATGACGGACGCACCTAATGGCTTCGACGAGTCTCACCCCACCCGTGCCGTGGCGCCAGAGGACGGCGATGTTTCTTCTCCGAAGAATGACATGAACATCGACGCCGAAGACAGCGAGGCGTCCGATGACGCCGACACGCCCATTGAGGATATGCGGCGAAGGGGATTGCTGCCCACTGGCTGCTGTTACGATGACAGGATGAAGCTTCACGCGAATGCCGACTTCGGCCCGTCGCCCCATCACCCTGAAGACCCCAGGAGGATAGAGGAGATCATGAAGATTTTCAAGAAGGCCGGGCTCGTCTACACGGGACCAGACTCGGAGCTCGTCGACATCCTCAGGGACACGCCGACCAAGTACATGTGGCGGATCCCAGCTCGTCCGGCTACGAAGCAGGAAATCTGCACCGTGCACACGCCCAGGCATTACGACTGGGTACAGAGCCTTTCGTATATGTCGACGAGAGAGCTCAGAGTCCTCAGCCATAATCTGGACCAGGGAAGGGCCTCTCTCTACGTCGGATCCATGTCCTTCGACGCTGCCGTCCTCTCGGCCGGAGGTTGCGTAGAGACGTGCAAGAACGTCGCGGCGGGACAGGTCAAGAATGCTTTTGCTATTATTCGACCGCCCGGGCATCACGCCGAGTACGACTCGCCGATGGGATTCTGTCTGTTTAACAATGTACCTATCGGTGCCAAGGTCTGCCAGAGCGAGTTTCCCGACACCTGCCGCAAGATCCTGATCCTCGACTGGGACGTCCACCACGGAAATGGCGTCCAAAACATGCTATACGACGATCCCAATGTTCTTTACATATCCCTTCACGTATTCGCTAACGGCGACTTCTATCCCGGGAAACCAGACAACTCCATGATTCCGGACGGAGATCTGGACAAGGTCGGCGAGGGCCCGGGCCAGGGGAAGAATATCAACATCCCCTGGCCGTCCCAGGGCATGGGAGACGGCGAATACCTGGCGGCGTTCCAAAAGATCGTCATGCCGATCGCTCACGAGTTCAACCCCGACATGGTGATCATCTCGGCCGGGTTCGACGCTGCCGACGGCGACGAGCTCGGCGGATGTTTCGTCACGCCGGGCTGTTACGCTCACATGACGCACATGCTCATGTCTCTCGCCGGTGGGAAGGTGGCGGTGTGCCTCGAGGGAGGCTACAACCTGAAGGCGATATCGCACTCGGCCCTAGCCGTCGCCCGGACGCTCATGGGAGAGCCGCCGCCGAAGATGGACATACCGCCTATCGACAAGGAGGCTGCGAGGGTTTTGGCAAAGGTGCAAGCCGTCCAGGCCCCCTACTGGGAGTGCCTGAGGCCCGGAATCGTCAACGTGCCCGAATTCAACGAGCTGCACAGGAGCTCATCTCGTCTCCACGATGTCATCCGCGGCTTCCAGCGACAGGTGCTGTCGGAGAAGTACGGCATGATCCCCCTCTTCATCCAGAGGGAGGCGCTCTACAAGTCGTTTGAGAACCAGGTTCTGGTCACGCCCGGCGTGCAGTCTAAGAAGAAGGTCTTGTTTGTTATCCACGACCCGTAAGCGCGACTCCGCATGTCCACCACTGCCGTCGCTGTCCAGCGCTGACAAGCTTTTTTTTTTTTCCTTTCTAGGCCCGAGCTGAAGGCGATGCCGGATATCATCGACAACACTGTCGACCCCCATAACGGCTTCGTCGTACGTGCTGACCCCCTTACCCATTACGTATGCAAGGATTGGGGAAAGACATATAGGCTAATGGATCTGTGTGGTAGCTCGACGGCGTTACGGCCTACATTGACTGGGCGCACAAGAATGGGTTCGGCATTCTAGATGCCAATATCCCGCACTACATCACGCGTCCGGAGGACATCGACGCGTTCACGCCCCGCGAGGACGAGAAGGCGCTGCAGCGCCAGATCCAAGAATTGGTGTGCTATATTTGGGACAACTACCTTCAACTCTACGACGTCGAGGACCTATTCATCCTCGGGGTGGGCAACGCGTACTTGGGCGTCAAGGTGCTCCTGACTAACAGAGGTAAGGACAACGGTCCGACGGCACCACAGGTATCCAGCCAGAGCTGACTAGCCAACGACGGGGTAGACTGCAAGCACCGCATCTCCGGGGTCGTGAATTTCGTCACGGGCAACCTCCGACCGGTCAAATCGGAGACGGACACGGAGCTGTCGCTGTGGTATAAGCGCAACTCGTTGGTTTACGTGACGAACGACCACGCGTGCTGGAGCGACGAGGACCTGGCGAAGAAGGTGCTGAAAAAGCGGTTCGGGGGCGTGCAGAGGAGCCCGGAGGTAGGGCTGACACGCATGATGGAGGCGCACGCGGGGGACGTTTTCCAGTTCATCAGCAAGAGGCTCAGCCCGGAACAGAGCGGGAACGGCACGGAGGAGGACAGGTAAAGCCCGGGTGGAAGAAACAGGCGAGGGGAAAGGAAGGGGGTAGAAGAAGAGGGGCTACCGATGGATAACCGAAAGTCATAGGAAGTTTAGTAGGTAGTAGTAGGACGTCTACCCGTCTGTCTCCCCGTCCGTCTGCCCGATCCCTTGTGCTACGGCGTGATGGCAGTGCACGCACGTAACTGCAACGATACCGCCTATCATAAAGGAGGTACCTCAGGCAAGTTACGGGCGCGTACCGAGAGGCTGAGGATGTCATGATGCTACCTCCTGACCGATCCTTCGGTACTTGGCCTTGCGAGATACGACTTACCGAAATACGTGTACCTGCATAGCTTGGTGTGGGTACCTCGTCGCCGTAACAGTACCTACACGTCTCGTCTCGCGAGTCGCGCCGTTGCCGGCGATACGGTAGAAGCAAGCAACATGGCCGGCGATGCCCCCGCGGCAACCACGACCATTGGCGGTTGCCTGCCACGGCAAACCGCGGAGGGGGGGTTGGGAAGGTATGGGTAGGTAGCTATAGATGGGGAAAGAACGATCGGAGAGAGGAGAGGAGAGAGAGAAAACAAACACGACGGGGGAAAAAAATATAGAAAAATACCTATACAAAATAACAATCATAGTCGGAGGGAAAAAGAATTTACTACGAGTCGAAACAAAAGCATACCTACCGGTTTGGATCAACCAACACTTCCCCATCCCCTGCGGCGGCAGCATAGGTAGGTATAGGTATTGATTGAAACTAGCAAGTCGGCCTGGAACCGTTTCCTCGCCTGCTTCGCCGGGTACTCGCACCGAGCAGCAACGACTCCAACAGCCTCATTCCTCGCCAACCCGAACGTATTCGCGCCTCGCCCGGTCGAGGGCTGCATTACCTAAGCCTCCGGTCGTCGTCGTCGTCGTCGTCGATCTGCCCCCGTGCGGCTTTCCCTAGATAGGCATAGAGCACAATTCTCGCAGGGTTCGCTGACTCAGGCTCGGCGATAGGCGAATCCGCTACTCCGTGGGGAACCAGGAGGCTTTATCGCCGGAGTCTGATTGGACAGGCGCTATGACGCGGCACAGGGGGGGGCGAGAACATCCTTTTGCCGGCCGTGGCGGCAGCCGGCGAGTCTCAGGACGAGCATCCAGACCCATACCAGGACCGGAGAGAGCGAGAGGAAGAATAGCATCACGTCGCACTCCCCAACCGTCCAGCAGGCGCGTCGGTAGCCTCTCGTTAGCAGATCGAGCCGAGCTGCCACGGCCACCCCACTATCGTCATCAAGAGGAAGAGGAAGAAGAAGGAGGAGGAGAAGGAGGAGGAGAAGAAGACGGGGCACAGGAGGCCGACCACTTTCTCTCCCTCCTAGAGGGGATCCCCCCTTCGCCTTCACCACCTGAGCAGCCTCAAGATCACCACTGGCCCGAGCAATCCCTGTCCTACCAGCAGACCCGCGAGCCGCACGTCTCACACCACTCCACCCACATTCACCATACGCTTCCCCTTCGTCTTCGCGACACACCACCGCAGACTCGACCATCGTCGCCGTTCTCGTCGCGTCTACCCCCCCAACCTCACCAGCAAGAGCAGGACAACGACTACCACTCGCCGGAGGACGGACACTTGTCGCAGCTGCCTCTGCTCTTGTCATCGTCGTTGTACACTGGAGCAGTGCACGACACTTCCCGACTTGCCAAGATGGATCGCGACCCGCGAAGTAGAAGGTAAGATGCTGACGAGCGTTTCCTTTTTGGTTCTCTGCTCTCTTCCGATCGCTGGCCTCTTTTTCGCCGCCATGCGAGATGACCCATCCGCGTCGGACTGGTCTGCTCGTGCGGTGTGCCGCGAGACTATACATCTCCGTGCATACACAGGGCGCGGATATCCATCTCCGCGTGTCTACGTGCGTGGACTTCAGCGGCCTCCGCTGTTGGGCGTGGAGTTGTTGTGGTACCGAGTACAACACCGCTTTCCCGGAGGCGTGCCTCCCCGCGAAATGCACTACCGCGATGATCGAGCCGTTCACCATGCTAACTGTGCACGAACCTCCCCAGATACGATGACGGAGAAGTCACTAGATACGGCGCTGGCGAGTCGTATCGTCCGTTCAACTCGAACCGCTCTCCGCGGCGCGCCCGAACCCCCCCCAGGGAGCGCGCCCGAACCCCGCCGCCCCTGGACAGCGACCGTTACATCCCCGGCCGACGTCGCTCGCGAAGCGCGGATAGATACCGGCGAGAGCTCTCGAGAGACCGCCGCGACACCAGGGAGCTAGGCGACAGCTGGAGACGACGGGACAGAAGCCGCAGCCTTCGCAGAAGCCCGCCCCGACGATCCCCTCCTCGACGCAGTCCCCCCAGGCGAAGTCCCCCACCACGCAGATTCTCCCCGCGACGGGATGACAGGGACCGCCTGCGCTCTCCTCGGCGGGGCTTCGACTCAAGGTTCCCCCCACCATCCCAGACTCGCGACTTGAACGCCCTTCCCCTAACCACTCTGCCGTACAGACGACGATCGAGATCCCCGTTCGAGAGAGATCGCGGTCGAGCCCGGACGCCACCTCGCCGGTCCCCTCCTCCTCCGAGAGCCAATACCTACAGAGCTCGGTCTCGCAGTCCGGACCGACGCGATGATCGCTACGGTCCTTCGTATAGCAACAGCAATAATAACAACGCCAATACTACCAGCAACACCAGCAACAACAGACGCCCTTCGCCTCATCGTGAGCCCCCGGTGTCTGCGGCGGTTCCGCCCCAGGACGCCTCCCGCAAGTCCTCACCTCACCCTCCGCCCCCAGCCCGCCGCGACGACCGCTCACGCCCACCAACACCCCTTCCCTCGAGGCCGCTATCTAGATCCTCGCACGGCGTGCCAGCCGCTAGAGAGAAGGAAAGCCCCTCGAAGCCCCCCGCCGCCACCGCCGCACAGGAGCCTCCCGCCCCCCCCAGATCTCCACCGCGCGGCCCCGCCGCTTTTCGAGCACCGCCGACCGGTCCTCGAGATACTCGCAGTTACGGCAGCCAGCCTACGGGGGCAATAGGGCCGCCCGCCCGCCCGCCGCCTCCCGCTGCGCCCCCGGCAGCGCCGGGTCGACAGGATAGTAACGGGCCTACCACCCCTGCTCCGCCATCGGGCCCCCGCGGATATGTGGCTACTCGGGGAGGCGGTTACGGTCGCGGTGGCGGCGGCAGCAGCGGCAGCGGTCGAGGAGGAGGGAGTGCGGGTTGGGGCAGCGCGATACAGAGCCGAAATCTGCCGCCGGCCGCGACCCCAGCCTCGGCTTCATCGGCAACGGGCTCCAATAACATCCCCACAGGCCCCCGTGCGGGTTCATCGTCGTCCGCGTCCGCGTCCGCATCGCAGCCTCAGCCGCAGTCGCAGTCCCAATCTGTACCCTCCACACCTGTGGGCCAGTCGAAGCCGTTCAACCCACCCAAGGGCCCGGCGGCCGATAGTAGCGGCGGTGGTGGACGGCTAAGCCTCGCGCAGCAGCACCTCGCGAGCTTACCGCCGATCATACCGGGCGGGAAGGTAGATAACAGCGGTAGCAACGGTACCCACCACGGCCACCATCAGCCGCACCACGGCGGTCACGCCAACATTGCGACGGCCGCTGGCGCCGGCAGCAACGCGACGGTCTCCGCGGCGGTCGCAGGCGTGGCGCCGGAGCTACAAGCGCACTACCTGCAGCTGCGCGAGGAAGAGGAGCGACTGCGAGCGGAGAAGTACGCCAAGGAGGAGAAGCTGCGGCGCAGCCTTGCAGCGTGGGACCGGTCGGAGCGCGAGGCGCGAGTGCTAGAGCTCCGGACGGAGCTTAGCGAGGCCGGCGTCAAGAAGTTTGCGGGCGAAGGGGTGGGCGGCGCGGCTTTCTAGTCAGGGGGCTTGTCGCTGTATTTTTTTTTTCTCTCGTTCTCCCCCACCGAAAAATTAGAAAAATAGGAGCAAGGCACTATGGCTTCGGCTTGGTGCGTGGTAGAGGCGGGTATGAGAACCGTATGAACTGACGGACGGACGGACACGAGAGAGGCCGAGGGAAATAAATGAAGAAGGGGGGAGACGCGGGTGGGGCGGATACAGAAGAGATTGACACGGGAGAGGGAGAGAGAAGGGATCCGCGAAGCCGAAGTCGCAACTGATCCCCGGGTCCGATTCCGGGTCCCGGATTCTCGGTACGAGGAAGGGGGGAGGCAGAGACGGAAAGCAGCAAGGAGAGGAGAGACGTGGGGGGGGCGAAGGGTGGGTAATAGAGGGATGCGTAATGAGGGACGGACGACAGCGCCGCGATGCCGCTGTACTGTGAGGCATGCCGCTGCCGTCCGCATCACTTGCGGCCGCGGCCGAGGTTCGGGAGGAGAGGCTGCGATTAGCGGTAGGGAGCGGTAGGTAGCGTGGTGCCGTGTAGATACAAATACGATCGCTATCATCATCGTTAGGTACTAGCACTAACTACTCTGCGAAATCGCAGAACTTGCTGTCGGTGTTACTGTTGCTGCCGCTGCTGCTAATGGATGTGTAGCAGGCATACGCGAAGGAGGTGACTGGGAGTTGGTGTCGCGCTGGCTCGGGGGCAAGTAATCGGCAAATAAGTCTATGAAGGGGAGGTCTAGGTAATGAAGCGGGTTCTCGACTCTCTTCTCTCTCATACAGGGAGGGCAGTTCCGAGGCTACGCGGACAAGAATGCCGGGGGTGGCGAACGACTCGCATTTCAGCCGGAAATAGGGGGAAGGATCCTCGCCTTCCTCTTCTTCGCCTACATCTCGCCTTCGGCGCTACATCTATCCCCCGCCTCTTCTGCTGCTTCTACTTCTACATCTGAGGGATGCTACGACCCCCAGATACAGGACACGGCTAGGCTAGCTAGGCGGGAAGAAGCCGTCTACCCGTCCCCCCTAATGATGCACACGCACACTATTACCGCTCTCTCCCTCTCCACGGGCCAAATCAACTGCCCGACGTCGCGACTTGCCGGTAGGGGTATAGCCCGGCTAGTTCGCCCGCCCTCGACCGAGGAGGGGACCTACTACTACTTCTCGCCCGCCTGCTTCGCCGCCGGGAACGGGTTGTACGAGCCGCGGTCGTCCCGCAGCTTCAGCAGCTTCTCGAGCACCTCGTCCAGCAGCACCGGCTTGCCGCGGTCCTGGGTCGACGTGTCGTCGCGGTACCGCACGTTGACCTGGCGGCCCCTCATCTCCTCATCGCCGACGACTGCGTTGCCGCCACCGGTCAGAAAGACGGAAAAAACGAAAACAGTTGCGAAGAGGCCAGATGTGTTGAGGCTGCTACGGTGCGGAAACGGAACTGGGGGCGACGTAGGGGTTGGGGAGGAAGGAGGTCTCGGGGGGGAGGAAACTCACCAAAGATGAAGTTGTATTGCGCCAGCTGCGCGCTGCGGATCTTCTTGGGCAGCGTGTTGCCCGTCGTGTCGATATCGACGAAGATCTTCTCCTTCTTGAGGAGGTCCTTAACCTCCTGCGCGTACGGCACGAACCCCATCCCCACCGGGATCACCATGACCTGCCGCGGGCTCAGCCAGAACGGCCACTTGCCCGCGAAGTGCTCTATCAGGATACCTGTGCGCGCGTGACGTGTTAGCCCAGCCTAGTTAAGCAACCCCTTACACCATATCCGCCTGTCCACCCCGGTGCAAAATCTTACCCATGAATCGCTCTATCGAGCCCGCCATGGCGCGATGGATAATAACCGGCCGCGCGCAGCCCGGGCTTAGAGGCTTGATCACCCTTCCCCGTTTGGGGGCGCCTTCACCTGCAGGGGGTGGTGCCGGATCTGCGGAGGCCGGCGACTGGGGCTCCTTATCCCCGGCAGCAGGCGCTTCGACGGCCGGCTTGTCGTGCTTCGCCTTGGCCGTGGGTATCTCGGCCGTGACGTACTCGAGGCCGAAGTCTGCCGCGCGTTAGTAGAGAGATTCATTCATACCGCTTGGCGAGGGGTAGGGCACGTTACTTTCGGGGCCCATGAAGTCGAGTTGAATCGTGGCGCATTGCCATCCCTAGGACCGAAGTCAGTCTCATTTCTCTAGCTTCTGATTCGAGTATTGAAACTTGAAACTGAGGAGGAAACTGGGGTGAGGCGTTTGCATCCAACGAAATAGACGTGGGAAGAAGAAAAAGAAGCACTTACCCGATTCAAGCAGTCCAGGATCTCAATATCAATCTGAGCCTCCGTTAACAAATGCTCACGCGGTCGAGGGGACGCTCGAACCGTACCTTGGGACCATAAAAGGCACCGTCGCCCTCATTTAGTATCCACGAAACACCCCCGGGCCCGGCCGCGAACTTGTCCAGCGCTTCTTTCAACATGCCCTCGGCCTTGTCCCACGTCTCCTTCTGGCCCATGAACTTCTCGGGGCGGGTGGAGAGCTGCAGCTTGAAAGTGAACCCCAGCAGGCCGTACATCTCGGAGAGAAAGTCGAACAGGCTCGAGATCTCGTCGGTGACCTGGTCGAGCCGGCAGAAGATGTGCGCGTCATCCTGCTGGAAGCGGCGGACGCGGGTCAGGCCCGACAGGGCGCCGCTCGCCTCGTTTCGATGGATGACACCAAAGTCGGCTATGCGCAGAGGCAGCTGGTTGTACACCCTCGGCGCGTGCGCGAACATGAGGAAATGGCCTGGGCAGTTCATCGGCTTCAGGCCGAACTTCTCCTTGTCTACATCCATCACGAACATGTCCTTCTGGTAGTATTCCCAGTGGCCGCTGATCTTCCAGAGCTCCGAGTTGAAGATGTTAGGGGTGATGACTAGGCCACGGTTAGATAGACGGCGCGACTGTGGGGTTTTGGGGGCAAACGCTGACCTTCGTGGTAGTCTCGTTTGTGATACTGCTCTCGGAGGTAGTTTAGGAGGGCGTTGTAGATCCTCGTGCCGTGGGGTAAGAAAAAGGTAGAGCCAGGCGAGAGTTCGTGGAACATGAAGAGTTCTTGCTCCCTGCCCAGCTTCCGGTGGTCTCGCTTGGCCGCTTCCTCTAGGAATTTCTTATACTCGGCCATCTTCTTCTTGTCCGGGAAGGATACGCCGTAGATTCGCTGGAGGGACTCGTTCTCCTGAGAGCCGAGCCAGTAGGCGGCCGAGTTCTTCTGGATCGAAAAGGACTCGACCCGTCCTGTGTCGGGAACGTGAGGGCCGCGACACAGGTCGATCAGCGGGCCGTTGCGGTACACGGTGGTGGAGGTGCCGTCGGGGATCTTGGTGGAGATGAGGTATTGCTTGTATTTGCTAGGAGGCCCTCGTTAGCACGCCGCAGACGCAGACATGTAAATAGCGTTCTTCTTTGACCGTACGTGGTCGGTTGGGGAGGCTCAGATCGACGCACTTGTAGCTGAACATCTTGAGGAGGTCCTCCTTGGACACCTCGAGCCGCTCGAAGCGTTGGCGGTCCTTGACGATGTCGGTGACGATGCGCTCCAGAGGCGACCAATCGCTCTGCTGGACGGCGGCGCCTTCAGGCAGGGCCATCTCGTAGTAGAAGCCATCGGTGGTCGGGGGGCCAATGCAGAGGGAGCAGCCAAATCTCCGCTCGCAGGCCTCGCCGAGGATGTGGGCAGAGCTATGCCAAAACACCTGCTTGCCTTGTTCGTCGTCGAAGCTCAACAGCTCGAGCCGGCAGCTCTGCTCCAGCGGCCGCTCCAAGTCCCACAACTTGCTCTTGTCTCCATCTAACCTAGCGACGACGGTGCGTTTGTACAGGCTATTCGAGACCCCCCTGGCAATTTCGCCCGGAGTGGTCTCCCAGCTGGTGCCCTCCTTGACTGTGCCGTCGGGCAGGGTGATGGCGATCTTCTCGCGGGGTCTCTTGGCAATGTCCTCGTCGTACTTCTTCTTCAACTCATGGAATAGATCGAGACGCGTCTGTAGGTACTCCGGGGGTGGGTTCAGCTCGATCGGGCCGGCGCTCGCTTCCTCAGCGCCCGACTTGCTCTTCTTGTCTTTCTTGGCTGGCTTCGGCCCGCCCACCGGAAGCTTCTTGACATCCCCAGAACCAGCGTCAGCCATACTGTTGCGGCAGTTCTACGCAGAAGTCGAATGTGGGAAAGAGTGCGCGGCAGTGCAATGGCGTAGCGACGAGGGGGACGGAGAGGAGGAGAGGAAGAGAGGATAAGAGGTCGGAAGGAGGATGTCGGATATGCTTGAGTCACCTATGATTTTCCAAACCTCCAGGTGTTTGCAGGTGAGGTGGGGTGGAAAGGGGGGGTGGGGGCTGATAAGAGATACCTGAGAAGCGGCAGAAATTGATTGCCATTCCTTTAGGCACCAAACCCCTTTTTTCCAGGTACAATGCCTTTATCCTTGCCCCGCTACCCCGCGGAATAGGAATTGTAAAGAGACATACATGCGATACATGGGTATTTCCACGTGTGCATACACGAATATGCATCTTATGAAAGTGCACATTATGGAATATGGTATAGCACCACCATCTGAACTACAACAAATCCTGTCTACCTCTCACACCACATCACACCCCTGACGTGACGCACCTGACGTGACGCACCCGAGCTGTCCTCTATAATGTGAAGCCCTATGCACATTGTGCCCTTCTATCCGTTCATGAATAGCAACAGAGGTAAACAGGACTCGCTGGTCTAGCCTGGGCAGGGCCGAATTGCCTAAAGATAAATAAAATATCGGGCCATACCTATATCTGTTCAACTACTCGCCGACCTACGGGCTCTGCTCTCGGCGAAAAGCTTTGGTTCATCCGCCGGGTTGCGAGTTTTGAATTGCACCAATACGTACGACGGTATTTCCCGACCTACTTCTAAGCCTATCTGGGACCGTTTTCCGCGCAATTGTTACTCCCCTTGAGCACTAAGCTACGTGTAGCTCCACCGCTACTACCAGCATGTCCGGGGCGGCACCGAACTCGGCGGGGACGAATAGCCTTGGGGACGCATTCAAGCAACAGCATCGCCGCCACGAAGACAGGGAAGACGCAGTAGACGGGGAGGAGATCCCGGCGTTCCAGACCATCGCACCGAGCATATTCGCCGCCGCGCGGGTTGACCTCACCAAACCGCCGCCGGAGCTGCCATCCGAGCTCCACAAGGCGCGCGAGACGGTGCTCGGTGACATTGACGAGCACACCAAGGCGATCCAGGACAACATATACTGGATGCTGAATCGGGAGAAGACGCGGATCCGGCAAGAGTGCTGGCAGCGGGAGGCGCGGCTTGCGGCGCGCGGCCTCACGCGAGGGGCCGCACCGGGCCTGACCGAGGACGAGCAGCGGCGGTGGATCCCGGACAATGGCATGGAGCTCGACGACATCTTCTTTATCCGCTCCTACTGCCCAGAGCCGCCACGGGGCGGGCCCTACGAGGTCGCGCCGGGCTTTAGCCACACCTCCTGCCTGCACGTCGAGACCGGCTGGCGATTTAGGGAGTCGCCGCGCAAGTCCGCTGAGAAGATGATGCTCAACCTCGTCAAGCACGGTGTCCAGAATCTCGAGGGCCTCGACCAGCACGTCAAGGACGTCAAGGAGGCCCGCATCCTGGAGCTAGAGGGTGAGTTGCGAGCCAAGGGCGACTTGCGCGCCAGGAGCGAGGAGGGGGAGATTCTTGACTCCCCCGGGGATAGGATGGAGCTTAGCTGACGCTGTATGGTCGGCGACGGATTACACATGAGCAATTAGAACCGCGCGCCACCTCTTCCCTTACTACCGACGCCATGACATATTAAACGAACCAGGTGCCTTTTTGTCAATTTCTCACGATCATCTTCCTTCCTTCCTGCATCGTGCTTTCATCATATTAACACACGTATCCTAAACGCCGCTGTCGTCCGCGGGAGGTTCCGGATAGTTATAAGACTGGGTGCGACCGACCTCCCACGGCTTCGGAGGCGCCGTGAGCCGGCCGCGGGTAGTGATAGTCGGGTCCTCGACGACCGTGTCGGGGATCTGCCTGATCCCCGGGATGGGCTTGCCGGTCTGTAGGAACTCGACTATCTCCTCAAACTTCTTGGGGTACGGCTCCTTGCCAGGGTCAGTCGTTGCGGCGTCCTTCTTCTCGACGTAGAGCTCCGCTGTCGGTGCCGCGTTCTGCCAGCTGGGAACCGCTACCTGAGCCGGCTCCGGCGTGGTTGGCTGGAGAGCAGTGTGGCCGAGAGGATCGCCCAGCTCCACCAAGAGGCGTGCGAATTTCCTATCTTCTGGGTTTGACTGGTCGTTGCTTCGTTAGCGGTACTATTAATCTCCTCTCCGAGCGTTCTCGTAGCATCTACAAGCAGGCAACGCGGGAGGGTGTAGTGGCCGTAGTCTCGAGACGTACCACTGTCGCTGCTTCTATCGCAACCGTCTGCTCAGCTACTATTCTTGGAGGCTTGCGGTTGTTCTGAGCGAGCCAACTCTGGTATGCGTCACCGTCGATCGGGATCTGAGTCTGCTGGGCGAATCTCTGGATCCGAGCCTGGAGAGATGCCTCGGCAAGGCTGAGGTCGGCGGACTGCGCATCCCCCAACGCACTCGAAAGTAGTTCCTGGATTTGTGAAACTCGGTCAATACGCTATCCTAAGAGCGGCCTGAGTCTCGCGAACCTACAGCAAAAGTGCGGTCTTTTGTCCACGGATAGGAGTCGAAGGCGCGGTATCGCGCATCAGGATTCTCGGCAGCGCGACGCTGGACGTCGGCGAGTCTTCCCTCGGGGGCCGCCATCTCTCCGACTAAATAGAGCGGACTGCAGAGAATTGAAGATTAGCCCTTCGTGATTCTAGTAAGTATTCTAGGAAGGATTCAAGGCGGATAATTTGTGTTTACGGATCGTTGCGATAGATTCGTCCCTCTTCAGGTAGGGTCAGGTAAGGGCCGGGGCTATATTAATATGCATCTACCCATATCCGTAGCGCCTTATATATGCAGTTGTAAAGTAAGGGAGAGGTGGGGTTTACGATCACATAACCCGATTAATAGTAGAAGGTCTACTCAGTAAGTAATATATTTTTAATAATAAAAAGCACTAAGAAGTAAGAGTTTAGATTTAAAAATTTTATAAGCTTTTTAAATACTTTATACTTTATATGAGTTTTATTTATGTTAACTATAATATAAATTTATATAATTAATCTTTTAGAATTTTTTTTTAAAATGAGTTTTATAATAGCCTTATATTAGGCTATGCCTATTATAGAGCTCTAGTTAGTACTAGGGCATAATACGTAATTAAGTCCTTAGTACCTACGGAGGATAAAGCTAGCTATTATAGGTACGGCTTATACGGCGTACCTTTTTCTCCTTTTTCTTTTCATCTAGCTTTAGTTTATTAATATACGGCTTTTACCTAACGAATAACTCGTAAAACCGTAATAAAAAGCTAGACTAACCTTCTTTTATTTAATTATTTTACGGATTAGTATCGAAACGAGTAGAATTAATAGTAGGAACAGCGATATAGCTCCTAAAGAAGCGGTACTAAGTTAATAGTCGGAGAGGCGGTATTAATTTTTAAATATACGTATTGAGGAGGAGCAGAGCGTACGCGATGCTAGAGACCCGGATAGGTTCACTCGAAAGTGCACTCTATCGAAGACTATAGTACGTACGATGGTCCAGGATAGATGAAACTAGTATCGCTATATTAATCGAGAGGTAAGGAATCTAATATAGTTATCGTATCTTAGTTATGCCCCTTAGTCGTAGAGATGTAGTAGTCGCTAGCCTAAAGGCATAAGAGGTAAGGGAAGAAAAGGGGTAAAACGTAAAAGTTACTTATTCGGTTATAACGGTACGACGAAGTAACTTAAGCGCCTATAACTAAGATAGATATATTAATCGGAGAACGACGAATCTAATGGCAAAAATAAATCTTTAATTAAGGTAAAAATAATAAAGATAGTAATCTAATTAAGTAATAAACTCGATAATAAGTATGGTATATCCCGTACTTACGGGAGCTATAGTTATTCTATATAGGTATAAGGCCTATCGTAACGTGTTACGTGATGTATTAAGAGGGCATGTCTTACCGTACTACTACAGCGTCGGTAGCCCCTATGAAAGAGAACCGACGAGAAGTAATGGATTAGTATCTTAATACGTAAGATTCGTAGTAAGAAAGGCAATATTAATACTTAAAGAATAGGTAACCGGTTAAGTTAATAATTAAAAAGGCGGTATTAGCTTTTAGATATTGTAGTGGTACGGTGGATCTAGGCCACGTAGCCTTTTCGATGTCTATTTATATGGGTCGCGTACTTATATTTTCATTAGTTAGACTTAGACCTGTAGCTATCACAGCCATCACTAGTTATAGCCATTTATTCGTTTCTTGCCATGCCTTTCTAGCCATCCTCCTTGCCCTTTTCTAGTCCCTCTCCTTTCTCAGCTACCGTTTCAGCTGGCCGATCAACCGATTACAGCTGTTTACAGCTGTGATCTTGGTTGATCGGCACTGGGCCAGTTGTTGGCAGTTAGGTAGTCCTTTTCGTGCCTCCGTCAGCGTGCCTACACTGCTCCTGTTCAATATACGTACCGGTAGTAACCTACGAACGAGGACCGATAAAAGATAACACGAAGAAACGACTAATAAAACCCGAGAAAACGTAGTTTAGACGGTAATTTTAAGATAAAAGAACGACGAAATCGACGAAATCGGTAGTTAAAAAAGGCAGAAAATTTTGAAAGAGTTAAAAACGCCCGAGGCGTAATATAAGGAAAGAATGGCGTTAAAATAACGACGAAACGATAAGTTTAGTTAAAATAATAATACTTCGATAAAGGCGTTAACGGCGTTAATAATAAACGGGAAGGCGCATTTTAATATGCCTTTAAATAGAACTCGAAGAACTCTGCTAATGAACGGTAGGATAGGTCCCTAATCTTTAAACGAAAGATAAACGATAGTCTTTAAACGAATCGAACAGCGTATCTTAATACGCCTTTTAACGGATCTGATAGGATCCGTTAACGGAAGATAAACGAAGGTCTTTAAACAGCGGTAAACAGACCGACGATTCCGTAACAACGAGAACTAAGCTAAACTTAATAGTCGTCTTATAATTACGACTTCGTACTGTAGTGGTGCGGTGGATCTAGGCCACGTAGCCTTTTCGATATATATTTATATAGGTCGCGTACTCATATTTTTATTAATTAAACTTAGACCTATAGATATTAGGACCTATAGCCATTTACTCGTTTCTTGCTATGCCTTTCTAGCCTTTTTCGTTGCCCTTTTTTCCAGCCTCCTTTCCTAGCTGCCGTTTTTAGCTAGCCGATTAACCGATTACAGCTATTTATAGCTGTGATCTTAGTTAATCGGTACTAGGCTAGTTGTTAGTAGTTAGGTAGCCCTTATTTCGTGCCTCCGTTAGCGTGCCTACGCTACTCCTATTTAGTAGCGACCACCTAGTAACTCGAACCTTACCTTATCTTAGGAGTGACCTTTTGCGACCGTTTTTGTAGTCATTAGGTTTAGGATACGACGATCAGGAGATTCCCTGTTTTTTAGTTAATCAGGAGCTGTTTTCGTAGCTTTCGGATTGAGCCTTTTTAGGTTAGGATTAACGGGAGGGCAGATAACCATAGCGACCATTAACAACTACGCCCTCCCATTAGCTTTTAATTAGCTTACCTAAAAGCTCGTTCTCCGATCAGTAGGAATCCCTGTTCTCGTTTCTTAGTTGTCTCTTTTGAAGGAGCTGTACCCGTTTTTGTCTGGTTTTGCCCCCGTTTTTAATAGTACCTAGATGGCCGTTTTCTTAGTTGATCTGATACCGTTACCGCTACTACCCCCTTTTTATAATACGCGCTTAAAGGCATCCGTTCTTTACCGATTAGTTTATTTCAATTATAAGAGGCTTACCGATAGCTCTGATTGCCCTTGTTTTATTCCTGCTAGTTAGTTACGGTACCTGGGGAGGTTTCTCTTTAACCGATAGATATTACGATACCCTTAATTACTATAATAAGATACCGATATATCTTATACCTACGAACCTAATCGGGACCTACCGATTAACGCGATAGACCTATAAACGATACCGCGATATACGAATTAAATAGGATATTAAATAAGAAAGCCTAGAAAAAACAGTTATAAGTTATAGTCGGAAATAGCTATGATAATGCCCGGAGACCCCTCTTGTCGCCCTTACCGATATATGGTTAGTAGGAAGAGCCAGAGCCCCTAAAACTACGTATAGGAAAGGGATCGAGGGTTAAGGGAAGCCCGGTAGATGCTACCGGACGAATAATAGTTAGATACGAGTTAGAAACGGAAACAGTCGGGCATAAATAGGATATATCAGTTAGTTTATAGGATTAGGATTAGTTAAAAGGATCGGTAATAGTTATGAACGAGAAGGACGGGATTACGTTATATCGTATGGGATTATTTCTTTCGTTTCTTACGGGAGCTACGTTTATTTTACTTACCCGTTATAGTTCCTGTTTTCCTAACGGATCCCTGTTATTTCTTAATGGCCCTAATGAACCTAGCTCGTTCCTAGTTAATTAGGGTTAATTAGGAATAGGTTAATTAGGTTAGTTTATAGGTTATAGCTCCGCTAGCCTAGTTCTTATTATCAGATCTTTCCTATTTCCTATTAATCGTTAGTTAAACTGGCTTAGCTCCTAGTTAGTAGCGATTAAATAGGTTCGGAACTGATCAGGATTAGGTTTAGGATCAGGTACGGTTGTAGTTAGTCACCTACCCTACCACCCACTTGTTGCTATTACAATCGCCTAGTTGACCTGTTTCTTCCTGACTTATCCTGTTGGCCTTTGATTAAACTAGCTAGCTTTTAGTTAATTAAGGTTAATCGGGATTAGGTTGATTAAGTTCAATAGGAACGAGAGCCACCGTACCTATTGCTGTTAGGAGTTTAATTACTCCTTGCGGATTAATTAAACTAGGGAGGCTATAGTGGTGCGGTAGATCTAGGCTACGTAGCCTTTTCGATGTATATTTATATGGGTCGCGTACTTATATTTTCATTAGTTAGACTTAGACCTATAGACATTAGAACCTATAGCCATTTACTCGTTTTTTGCTATGCCTTTCTAGCCTTCTTCGTTGCCCTTTTTTCCAGCCTCCTTTCCTAGCTACCGTTTTCAGCTGGCCGATTAACCGATTATAGCTATTTACAGCTGTGATCTTAGTTAATCGGCACTGGGCTAGTTATTAGTAGTTGGGTAGCCCTTATTTCGTGCCTCCGTTAGCGTGCCTACGCTGCTCCTGTTCAGTACGCAGGGCTTTAAAGCCTTACGGTTTAATAAGAGGATTGGGATGGTAGAACCTAAGGGGGTAATAATATTTTAGGAAGAGAAAGAAAGAACCCCGGGAAATAATAATACCTTAAGGAACGAAGATAGTAGCCCCGGGAAGTAATAATATCCCAGGGAACGAAGATAATAACCCGAGAAACGGATAACGTAACCCGGGAAACGAACGACGGCCGTAAGAAAATAATATACCGAGGGATTAGATAACGCCCGGAACGCCGGTAATACCTTAGGAGGAAGAGGATAAGGAGAAAGAACTTTTAAGAGAAGTAATAAGGAGGAGCAGAGCGTACGCGATGCTAGAGTCCTGGATAAGTTTACTTAAAAGTATACTCTATTAAAGACTATAGCTCGTACGATAGTCTAAGATAAATAAAACTAGTATTACTATATTAATCGAGAGACGAGGAATCTAATATAGTTATTATATCTCGACCATACCCCTTAGTCGTAGAGATATAGTAGTCGCTAGCCCGAAGGCATAAGAAGTAAGGGAAGAAAAGGGGTAAAACGCAAAAGCTACTTATTCGGCTATAATAACGAAGTAACTTAAGCGCCTATAACTAAAATAGATATACTAATCGGAGAACGATAAATCTAATAATAAAACCGAATCTTTAATTAAGGTAAAAATAGTAAAAATGGTAATCTAATTAAGTAATGAACTCGATAATAAGTATAGCATAGCTCGTACTGTAGTGGTGCGGTGGATCTAGGCCACGTAGCCTTTTCGATGTATATTTATATGGGTCGCGTACTTATATTTTTATTAGTTAGACTTAGACCTATAGATATTACGACCTATAGCCATTTACTCCTTTTGCTATGCCTTTCTAGCCATCCTCGTCTTTGCCCTTTTTTAGTTCCCTTTCCTAGCTGCCGTTTTCAGCTGGCCGATTAACCGATTATAGCTATTTATAGCTATGATCTTAGGTTAATCGGCACTGGGCCAGTTATTGGCAGTTGGGTAGCCCTTATTTCGTGCCTCCATTATAGCGTGCCTACGCTGCTCCTGTTTAGTAGCGACTACCTAGTAGCTCGACCTTACCTTATCTTAGGAGTGACCTTTTGCGACCGTTTTTATAGTCATCAGGTTCAGGATACGACGATTAGGAGATTCCCTGTTTTTTAGTTAATCAGGAGCTATTTTCGTGGCTCCAGAGCCGTTTTTCGTGGCTTTCGGATTGAGCCTTTTTTAGGTTAGGATTAATAGGGAGGGTAGACAACCATGGCGACCATTAATAACCACGCCCTCCTATTAGCTTTTGATTAGCTTACCTAAAAGTTCGTTCGCCGATTAGTGGATCTATCTTATCCTCGTTTCTTAATTGTCTCTTTTGAAGGAGCTATACCCGTTTTACCCGGTTTTGCCGTCGTTTTTTACCAGTACTTAAATGGCAGTTTTTCGCCCTTAGTTGATCTAATACCGTTACCGCTACCACCCCCTTTTTATAATACGCGCTTAAAGGCATCCGTTCGTTATTAATTAGTCTATTTTAATTACAAGAGGCTTATCGATAGCTCCGATTACCCTTGTTTTATTCCAGCTAGTTAGTTACGGTACCTAGGGAGGTTTCTCCTCCCTAATCGATAGGTACTACGATGCCCTTAATTATTAAGAAGATACCGACATACCTTATACCTACGAACCTAATTAGGACCTACCGATTAGCGCGAAAGACTTATATAAACGATACCGCGATATACGAATTAAATAGATATTAAATAAAAAAGCCTAGAAAAAATAGTTATAAGTTATAGTCGAGAATAGTTATAGTATTACCTAGAGACCCCTCTTGTCGCCCTTACCGATATATGGTTAGTAGGAAGAGCTAGAGCCCCTAGAATTACGTATAGGGGAGGGATCGAGGGTTAAGGGAAGCCCGGTAGATACTACCGGACGAATAATAGTTAGAACAGTTACACGAGAAATAGTCGGGTATGAATAGAATATATTAATTAGTTTATAGGATTAGGAATTAGTTAAAAAGGATCGGTAAAAGATAGTTATAGACGAGAAGGACGGGATTACGTTATATCGTATGAGGATTATTTCTTTCGTTTCTTACGGGAGCTACGCTTATTTTACCTGCCCGTTATAGTTCCTGTTTTCCTAACGGATCCTTATTGTTTCTTAATGGCCCTAATAAAGCTAGCTCGCTCTTAGTCGATTAGGGTTAATTAGGAATAGGTTAATTAGGTTAGTTATAGTTATAGCTCCGCTAGCCTAGTTCTTATTATTAGATCTTTCCTGTTTCCTATTAATCGTTGGTTAAACTGGCTTAGCTCCTAGTTAGTAGCGATTAAATAGGTTCGGGATTAATTAGGAATTAGGTTTAGGATTAGGTACGGTTGTAGTCATTTACCCTACTACCTACTTATTATTGTTGCAATCGTTCCCAATTGACCTACCTAACTTATCCTATTGGCCTTTGATGGAACTAGCTAGCTTTTAGTTGATTAGGGTTAATTAGGATTAGGATTAGGTTAAATAGGAACGAGAGCTACCGTACCTATTATTAGGAGTTTAATTGCTCCTTGCGGATTAATTAAACTAGGGAGGCTATAGTGGTGCGGTGGATCTAAGCTACGTAGCCTTTTCGATATATATTTATATGGATCGCGTACTTATATTTTCATTAGTTAGACTTAGACCTATAGATATTACGACCTATAGCCATTTACTCCTTTTGCCATGCCTTTTTAGCCATCCTCGTCTTTGCCCTTTTCTAGTTCCCTTTCCTAGCTGCCGTTTTTAGCTGGCCGATTAACCGATTATAGCTATTTACAGCTGTAATCTTGGTTGATCGGCACTGGGCCAGTTGTTGGCAGTTGGATAGCCCTTTTCGTGCCTCCGTTAGCGTGCCTACGCTGCTCCTGTTCAGTACTTGCGGGAGCTATGGTTATTCTATATAGGTATAAGGCCTATCGTAGCGTATTACGTGATATATTAAGAAGGTATGTCTTACCGCACTACTACAGTAACTACCGGGAAGGCGTACTTGGTAAGCGAAGAAACCCGAAGGACCTACAAAAGAAGAGGAGGAAGTCTCGGGGATACGTAATAACTTCCAGATAAAAGAATAAAAAGAAGAAATTATGGGGAAGAATAAGACCCGGGGAAAAACGCTGGGGGACTAGAGGTACCCGGTATAATACCTTAGGAAACGAAAGACCCCGGGAAAGAAACGGAAAAAGAAGAGGCCTAAGGGAATATTAATACCTTAAAAGGCGAAAATAATAACCCGAAGAACGAATAACGTACCTCGAGGAACGAAGGCGTATCTTAAAGCGTAAAAGAAAATAGGTTAAGTTATTAAAACTAAACGCTAAAGAAAAGGACGATAAGGCGTACTTTTTTTTCTAGGAAGGAACCTTATATATTAAGCTATACCTATTATAAGGCCCTAGTTAATATTAGAGTATAATATATAATCAAGCTCTTAGTACTTACAAAAGATAAGGCTAGCTATTATAGGTACAGCTTATATAACGTACCTTTTTCTCTTTTTTCTCTTCGTTTAACTTTAGTTTATTAATATACGGCTTTTACCTAATGAATAGCTCGTAAAACTGTAACAAGCCTTTTATTAATTATATAACATTGTCTTTAAATAATATAATAATATAAAAGAACTTAGCTATGTAGCGTTTTTAATAAGTATTTAAATTATTATAAAAAATCAAAATTTTATAAATTTAAACGATGAACGTATATTGCGTATCGCAAAGGGTATAAATCTAAACCCCTGTTTCTTAGCGCTTCATTCTATAAAAGATATACCATCTACTGAGTACCTCCGATCCGGCGCTCAACGCCTTTTACCCAAAGCAGAAGGTGATCACGGTCCGTTCCTCGATGCATCTTACCTAATCGCTTGAACTTGGTCCTCGTCCAGGATCCACTCGGTTATTAACTGGTCCTGGCCGCATCGCCTACATTATCTCCCTCTTGTTCTTCTCGCGACGACATTTTCGATATACCGCTCCGTGCCTCGACGGCAACCCTCCCCCAAATGCGTCGCGTACCTGCTAGAGTATTTCGGACGACCTTTCAATGTGCCGTCCGGGGTCTCTCGCGTACTAGTCGTCTGCGTCGCCCCATTCTTTGGCAGCACCGCAATGTTGGTCTAAGTCTACGATCTACCGCGTCGTCGTCTGCCTCGTCCTCCACCTCGTCCGCGTCCGCACCCCCCTCCTCTCGGCCGTCCTCGTCCTCGTCGCCCTCTTCTCCCCCGAGACCAAACTATGCTGTAGGCGAACCCTTGCGATCCTCCATGTACTTCCGACGCTTCTCCGTCGCCTTGGTATCTGGCCTGGTTGGGTACGGCGCCTGGTACACGTACAAAGGGAGCAGCGATCTGGAGCAGGCTGGGTCGAAGTCCTTCTCGACGACGCCCACCCAATTGGCCAAGACTGTCGCGCCCACGCGGAATGTCCTCGTCGTCGGGGCCGACGAGATACACACAGGCACATTCGTTGGCGAGGGTCCGATAGCGAAGAACGTTGATGGTAGTGGAAGAAACGTGCTCGAGATGCTTACCCCGGAGCAGGCCACGGAAAAACTCCGTCAAAGCGAAGTCTCCTTCTTGGTAAACCGGGGACAAGGCGTCTTACGTTATGACGTTGTCCAGCTTGCCAGTAACAATCCTATAGAAGACGACCATGCGGAGAAGATCGTAGAAATAGTTTCACAGGAGCACAAGAAAGACGCCGATCATGCCACCGATGACTGGATGTTTTGGGGCGTTTTCGATGGACATGCGTACGTACCGTCCCGAGTCACACGTATATCCCTAGCCTGTTCCAAGAACCGTCCGCGCGAGGACTAACATAGCGCTCGAAAGTGGCTGGACAACATCGGCAAAGCTCCGGCAGACTCTAATCAGCTTCGTCGCTCGAGAACTAAATACCACCTACAAGGCGGCTAAACAATTGGGAACGGCACCGTCACCAGAAGCTATCGATACCGCCATCAAGCTCGGGTTTACCCGGCTAGACCACGAGATCGTGAACGAGAGCGTGGAGAGAGTGCTGAAATCCAATTCGAAGCGAGTGGCGGCCGAGCTTCTTGGCCCCGCCTTGTCTGGCTCTTGCGCTCTCTTGTCCTTCTACGATACCAGCTCCAAGACCCTCCGTGTCGCGTGCACCGGCGACTCCCGGGCTGTCCTAGGCCGACGTAGCGCCTCCGGGAAATGGACGGCAACCGCCCTGTCCGAGGACCAAACCGGAAGTAACCCGAAGGAAGTGGCGCGGATGCGCAATGCCCACCCGGGCGAGGACCGCGTCATCCACAATGGCCGAGTCTTGGGCGGCTTGGAGCCCACCCGAGCGTTTGGAGACGCGAGCTACAAGTGGAGTAAAGAGATCTCGGAGCGGTTGCGGGCATCGTTCTTCGCACGGAGCTCGTCGCCGCACCTCCGAACGCCGCCTTACGTCACGGCCGAACCGGTCGTCACCACAACCAAGATCCAGCCTGAAAAGGGTGATTTCTTGGTCATGGCCACGGACGGCCTCTGGGAAATGTTAACCAACGAAGAAGTGGTCGGTCTCGTCGGGAAATGGATCGAGACCCAGGCAGCGGACCAGTCTGGCTCGAAATTCGGGACCTCATGGTCCAAGCTCTTCGGCCCCGGCCAGGGTCTCCCTGTAGAGGCCGGGAAAGAGGGAGGGGCGGACGGCCAGAAGGCGCCATTCCGATACCAACAATGGGGCATGTCTCCAGACGACAAGGAGCGATTTGTGGTGAAGGATAAGAACGTTGCTACGCATCTCATCCGGAACGCCCTCGGCGGCAAGAACGAAGAGCAGCTATGTGCTTTGCTCACGCTCGTCTCCCCGTTTTCGAGACGATACAGGTTAGTGACCGGACAAGGTCGAGTTCTAACACGGGAGGCTGACAGGTCTATAGGGATGATTTAACCGTCCAAGTCGTCTTCTTCGGCAATGGCCAGAGGACCGGAGAGGTGCTTGTCAACGAAGAGGCCTCGAGCCCCCCACAATCACACATTAAGGCGAGACTATAAAAGCCCGACGAAGAGAGGCTTCGTCATGTAGTATAACGTAGGAGCTCCGAATATTTGTTCCTGCAGGGTGCGAAACCAGCTCACAAACGCGCGTCAGCGTTATGGTAGAACTGTATTTTTGTCTGGGAGGGTTATACCGAGATCAGGGCATTATCGGTTATGGGTATTGGCATCATCGAATTACACATGAAGAGGCAAAAAGGAGACAGGAACCCCTTCTCAGGTACTCCCCCGTTGGAGAGGCGGGTGCCTACAGGCCAATAGAATACCAAACAAAACTTGGTGTTGTATACTAAACCAGTTCGAGGACACGCACCTAGATCGTCTCTGGACGTGAAGAGATGCCCATTCTTGTCATGCTGGTGCATACATATGCAATCGCACGCTACCCTCCTAACCACCCCCGATACTACTAGCAACAATGTAGTGCTGGATGATCGTAGTGCGTGCCCCCGTGCTGCCAGTACGATCTTGTATAGCGTGCCGCTCGCTAGCCGGCGCGAGACCGAATCCTAGATCTTGTCGTCGTCACTCGCCATAGGACCACTGTGGGCTGCTCCGTCTGAGGTTTAATTTTCCGATCCTGTGGGATCATTCGGAGTAAATCGCAGCGAAGCCCCCACCGCGGCACTGCTGCCCCGGACCACAGGGTTACATGGCTCTCTCACCCGCCGGCATGGCGGAGGGGATAGTTCGCCAGTCCAGTCCGTAGTGGGCCCGTATCCTTCCCGCATCCACGTCACCTGAACGGTGCGCTTCTAGTACCGGCTAGGCTCCGGGTCGAGAGCTGTCGTATAAGTTTACCCCCTGATATGTGTCGGCCGAATGTGGCGTTTTCTTGCCCACGGGGAATGGCCAGATGGGTAGGCTGGGCAGACAAAAGGGCAGTTCAAGGCATGCTCCCCAGCTCGTCCCAGACCGCTTTGTCTGCCACGGCTGTCACGGCGTGGTCCGAGGAAATGCGTATAAGAATAGCCGGACTCCGTCCCTTGTTGCCTTGCAGCATACTCGCGGAATTAGCCAGACCTACGAGTGTGGTTATCACGACCCAAATCCGGTAATATGAAGGCGTCCGCCGTTTTATGGCCATCGCTCTGCGCGACCCTGGCCCGCGCATCGTGGGTTCCCGTCGCGCCGGCGCTCTCTCCAGGCTTGGAACCGCGTTGGCGGGCCCAGATCAACCGCCATCAAGGAAACTCGAGCGGAGAGTGGCCTTACGGGCCGTTCAAAACTAGGGGCAGAGATGTAGTCAACAGCCGCGGCGAAGTTATCACTTGGGCTGGCGTGAACTGGCCAATGAGTGGTAAGTTGGGGCGGTGTTGGGAGTAGAAGAACGAGAAATGGAATTGCGGTTCCGCATAGATAAAAAGCAAAGTTGGCTGATCCCGGCGTAGGCGAGACGATGATCCCTGAGGGGTTGGAATGGAAGTCTGCCGAGGCGATCGTAGATGACATCGTCAGCGTCGGCTTCAACTATATCCGCATGTGAGTGAGCGCAGGCTGCCACCCCCGTGAAACCCCGACGGACAGATAAGGAGGGATTTTCTCGCAACTGACCGTACATCTAAACCAGGGGCTACGCAATCCAGATGGTCGACGAGATCTACGAGCGGGGCGGCGAGGACGTGCCGCTGGAAGTGGCCATGATAGTGGCACTCGGGTACGAGAACGGCACGCGGGTGACGGACGAGATCGTGGCGCGGAACCCGGGCTGGACGCGGCAGACGACGCGGTTCGAGATCTGGTCAGACATCACACGGATCGCGGCGACGCGTGGCGTGTATGTGCACCCAGACGTGCATGTCAGCAAGGCGCAATGGTGCTGCAGCCACACGGACGGCAACGCGTGGTTCGACGACGTGCACTTCGAGGCGGCGGCGTGGCGGCGGGGGCTCGCGTACGTGGCGACGTGGGCCCGAGACCACCCGAACGTGGTGTCGATGTCGCTGCGCAACGAGCTACGCGAGTCATGGAACCGCACGGCGCTGCAGTACAACTGGGTCACGCTCGTGGGGAACATGAGCGCCGGCGCGGACGCGATCCACGCCGCGAACCCGGACCTGCTGATCTCGTGGTCCGGCATGCAGTACGACCAGGACCTGTCGGCGCTGACGGCGCGCCGCAACCTGCTCTCGGCGCCGTGCTACCGCTGCACGGCGATCCGCGACGCGGCGCGGCGGGCGCCGGCGTACTTCGACCTGGGCGCGCACCCGTGGGGCGACAAGGTGGTGTGGGAGCTGCACCTGTACCCGATGAGCGAGGACGTGGACACGGGGACGTGCGAGGTGATCGAGGCGGCGCTGTACCGGAACGGGTTCAACGCGCTGGGCATCGCGGCGCCGTCGCCGGGGTGCGAGATCCTGGCGGCCGGCGACGACGGCGCGAACCCGTGCGAGCCGGCGGCGCGGCTGACGCCGGTGCTCTTCTCCGAGTTCGGAAACGCGCAGGACGCGAGCCTGTACAGCAGCACAGTGCAGGAGTGCGTGCGCGCCTTCACGCGCCGCCACCGCGTCAGCTGGATGATGTGGAGCCTCGCCGGCAGCTACCGCGCGCGCTCCGGCGCCCAGGGCGTGCCCGACACCTGGGGCCTCACCTCCTACGACTGGTCCGCCTGGCGCGACCCGGATACCATCGAGAACTACTGGAAGCCCTGGGTCGCCAGCATGAACGTGACCAAGTTTACGGGCTGAAGGGGTGCCGCGAGGTCCGGGGAGGTACAGAGGTATAGGGTGGGAGACATCTTGATATATATACACCACACCCCGATAGGGGGCAAACGTCGACATAGTGGACGTGAACTAATATAATATATGTATATATATATATATATATCACGAGCGTGTCATATGTGCTACGAAAATTGTCGTCTGGTAGTTCTCCTGTATAGATCTTGGCTATTCCTCGACAGGCGACTGTGCGTTCGTTTCCTGTGGACGCTCGAGTGGCGGCGGGGAACGGTGGAGTCTGCATCTAGCACCTGTCATCGTCTGCAGCCGAAAGGACACACAGCCTCCTACTACAGAATAGGAGGCGACTGTTTGCATGTTTTTTCTCGTGGAAGATAAGTAGTGTTCAAGTTCTCGGCTGGCTCTCGCCAACGTGCGCACATGAATATCGGGCCCTGAAAGCCGCCCACAACGAACGCTACCGTGCTGGCCCCCTTAATGCTGACATTTATATCTCTAGAGCGAAGTTGGCCACGTGTCCAAGTCCCAAAAGAAACGAGGCCGCAACGGCCGGAAGGGGAAAAAAGGGATCCGATCAACGCCAGTGCCATGCCGTACCGTCTCGCACCTTTTACTCATTTCCCTTTTATACAATCTCGTCGAAATCGAGGGCCGTGCCGGACTCCAAGACTATAGTCGTATATACAGGTCCATACACTCGATTCTCCACTCCCTGCGACCGAGCAGGCTGCGCAGCCACTCGACACCGAGGCCGGTCCACTCCTCCCTGCGCTTGGCGAGCTCCTCGGCGGCGGCGCTGGCCAGGGCGCGGGCAGTGCCGTTCAGCATCTCGGCGGCGGTCGCATTGAAGCTATCGGCGGCGGCGGCGGTCTCGTCGGCTGGGCAGAAGGGCGTAGCGGGTCGCGGGGAGAACCAGTTGCTGCTGAAGTCGAAGAAGCAGCGGTCGGACCAGTGGCACGAGGTGACGAAGAGGATGAGCAGCAGGACGGAGCAGTAGACGCAGGGCCGGTTGAGGAAGTAGGTGCAGACGAAGAAGAGGAAGATGAAGGCAGGCGACGCGTTCGTCGGGATGAAGAGCAGGGGAAGCCAACTGCACGTCGTCGAGAGGGAGAGGAGGAGATGGAGATCAGATTAGCCTGAGCCGCAGAAATGATGCACCGTGGCGGTGTCGGGGAGGGGGAGTCTGGGTCTAGGGTGCGTACCTTCGCAGACAAAACATGACGTCTAGTCAAGCGAGCGTCCGTTGGGCAGCAGAAGAGGGTAAGGTGGGTGGGCGAGTGAGCGACGGGTCGGTTGGAGGTGGGATGATTGGGCGGGCGACGGTGTTCTGGCGCCACAAGGCCGCCGCGCGAACCAGGCCGAGAGAATGCGAGGAGAGTCAAATGAGGGAGTGAATCCTTTGAGGGAATGACGAGTCCCGAGTTTTCTCGTCGTGGCTATCCGCCGCGGGCTGAGAGCGAGCGAGGGAGCGAGAGCGAGAGGGCCAAAAACAGAAACAACAAAGACTCGAGGTGCGGTATTAGTACGGGGTAGGTTCTTGTCTTTTCATTTTGTAGTGGTATTATCTGGCGATGATGGGATAAGGAGAGGGAGGATGTTATATTACATAAGACGGAAAGCTTTGCCGCTGGCTGCAGCGGTCTCGACGTGGTGACATAATGCGGTAGGCTATGCCCGCCTTAGCCTTATGCATGCATATAGGCACGTATATTCGCGATGCATTCCATATGAGTAATGTACCGAACTGTGGCCTGTGCATGTACTCCGCGCTGCCGACGGATGTACCGCGTACGTGCGTACAGTCTCTCCACCGTGACAGGTACCTGTGAGGTACGTGCCTAGGCCGGCGGTCGGTGCGCAACAGCAACTCAACCTCGCCTGCCTAACCTTGGCATCGACACACAGTTACGGCGGTACGTACAGCGGATGTACCGTCGATGTAGATTCGTCGCCCGGGCGTGTATTTTAGCGTCGGGGATGGTGTGCGTGGATGGCGTCGCGAGCGCGGGCGATACATGGCATCGACCAGCTCGGCACCATCACATACAGGTACCTCCTACATCACCCGCCTTCCCCGCCATCATTACAGGCAGGTCAGGTACCTACCTAGGTTAGGTGGATGCTAACAGACGGGCAGCCACGATAGGGCGGTATCTCGTTCGTTCGCTCTTCCCTTGTGTGTGACGCGCGAGCTGGCTCGCTGCCGGGTTGCGCTCTGACCCATCGTCTGCATCGCAGCCCAACGTTGAATCCGCCGTGCACCGGTTTTCTTCCCTTCCCTCTCCTGCTCACCAACTCCTCTCTCCCTCCCTCTCCCTCTCCCTCTCCCTCTCTCCCACTCATCCAACTGCTCTCCTGCCACTCGACGGGAACCCCATTTCCACCCCGTCTCCTCTCCTCTCCTCAACGCTTCTTCGCCCTCATCCACAAATCCAGACTTTCCACCTGTCGATTCCGCGCGAACGACAGCCGCAGTTCGCCATCCAGTTCGTCATTTTTATATGTGCATTGCCGGGTTGCGGGCTGCGGATCGCATCTGAGAGGTTCCACCTGGTCCACTTTCTCGTCGCCAACTCGGCCGTTCTACCTGGCCGCCCGTCCGCCCCCCCCTGGCACGTTTCGATGTGAGCTTTGGCGGAGCTTATGGTAGTTTAACCTTTTTTTTTTTTTTTTTTTTTTGGCGAGCCTGGTCCGAACTTGGGCTCAGCCCACGCCAGTCCGATTCGTCAGCTACTACTTTTTTCATCTTTTCCCTCTCATCGAGCGCCTTCATCGTCGACTGTTCTTTTCCCTTTCCATCACTGCAAACCGCCGTCGCCCCCCCCTCTGCCATCCCTCTTCTGCCCTCACACCATTTCCGGCGTATCGCCATTTACGATAAATAGAGCGGGCGGATTCTTTACGCGCGCCCACGTACGTATACATTCACGCGCAGATACGCCGACGGAGATAAGCCGAGGCAGACAGAGACGGAGAGAGCTGGGACCAGACCCAGGCAAGTTTCGACGCTAGCGTGACTTGCCTGCTTCTCATCAGACCCATCATCCATCATGGCAGGTTATAATCCGTCGGGCGGCAGTGATGCAAACGGTCTGCATGCGATGCTTGCTCGTTTACAGGTCCAACGCCAGGCGCAGAACAGTGACGACCCTGCCGCCCATGAGCTTCTCTCGCGATTTAATTCCTACAATCAAGGCGCCGGCAATTCCAAGGATTACTATGGTTCCGAGTCTCTGACTGGCCTAGACGACTTTCCCCCTCCAGCTCCCACTCCGCCGACCAACTTTAGCCACCCGCACCAAGGCCCACCGCTGCCGCTGGGTCCTATTGGCACCATGCCTCCCAACCCCGCCAGCAAAGTTGATCAGAGCACCAACTTGCTGAACCTGCTCAAGTTCAGCAGCAGCGGACAGAGCACCCAGGCCCCCTCTCACACTTCGCCGCCCGCCCAGTCTCGCGCGAGCTCGTTCGATGTATCTACTCCAAGTCATTCCCATACTTCCAACCCTCCTCCAATTCACGCGCCCGTGCCCATGCCTGCCGACCCCCAAGGCCTCCTGGCGACCCTTATGAAGGGAAACGCCCAGAATGAATCGTCGCGAGCCGAGCCCCCGGTTTCGAACCAACCGGTATGGAACGCTGGTCCACCACCGATCGATACGCAAGCCTATCTTCTCAACTTGCTACATCGTCCGAAGCCTTCGCAGAACGACCAGCCGCCCGCGAACGAGGGGTCTCAACCCTCCTTGACGCCCCAGTCGGCCGGCGGTTCCGTCGGAGATCGCCACAAGGAGTTTACTCCTTCGAAGCAGTTCAACCCCGACAGCACTTCACTCGACACAACGCCCCTGCCATTTAAATTTGGCACGGCCGACCATATCGAGTCTCCCTCAGCCAAATTTGACTTCCATTCGCCCGTCTCCCAAGCTTCACAGCACGACGGTAGCCGCAAGTCTTCTAAGCATGACTATCACACCAATCGCGACGAGGTTAGTACGGCGTCGCCTCTCAACGGTGCGTCCAAGGCTTCGACCCCCGGCGCCACTATTGCTGCGGCCCAAGCGCCTCCTGCTTTCAAGATCGCCAAGAGGACTCCTAGCGCCACATCTTCGCCGGGACTTTCTCAAGACCATAGGCGACTCAGCAGCCAGCGAAGCCCCATCGCAAGCCCGGAGAATGCTCGGCAGAAGTTCGATCCGTCTCCCCTCTCCGCCGAGCAGGGTACCGATATTCCCGGCACGACACAGGAGGCTACTGTCGAGGTAGTAGGGAATGCGGAGGCGACACCGGAAGGTGCCGCCGGCATCGCTACCCAGACAAACAGCAACGGGGCACAAGCTGGATTGCAGGGCTCGGGGCGTGAAGAGGTACGAGCCACGCTTAGCGCCCAACTGAGGCGTATGATGAGAGCCGAAACTGACGCTGAATTCCAGGGATTGGCCGAGGCTGCGGCAAAGGGGATCCGGAAGGAACTCGGCAAGCAGCAGAATGCGGGTGTCCTCGAAGACCGACACTCCCCTGTTGTCACACAAGCAATTCGCGATATCGTCGATGACGCCGCCCACGGACCAGTTGCCGACAGCTGGGAGAGTGCTGAGGCTGAAGCCGACGAGATTGTTGTCATCGAAGACACGCCAAACCCTGTCCGGGTCTACAACTTCCCCATGAAGCCGTGGATCTCCATCGCGATGCAGGCCACAAATGAACCACGCCCACAGTTCCGTGATGAGGTGAACCTTGACATCGCTCGGTTGAAGAAGGAATTCGACCAGATCGATCGCAACTTGGTCGCCGCCACCGACACGTACATGGCTTACGGCATGTCCAAGGCAGGCGGAATTCGCGTCATACGGCAGGACGACGGTAAGGACGCGAAGCTGTTCACTGACACGAAGGACCGAATTTTCAATGTCGCCATGTCCTCGACACCCCCTGATCTCAACACGACGCCGAAGGAAACCATTATAGGCACGGGTGTTAGTGGGACCGTATATTATGTGCAGATCAAGAACGGTGATAAAGACCACCTGGAAGATGACCACCTTGAGCAATATGGATTTGCCCTCCCGCCAATTAGTACGCAAGAAGGGGACACTCCCGGTGGTGTCTTGAAGACGCGGGCCAGAACCTCTTCGACGCACCCAGATTTTTTCGCCGTCGGCCGTGGGAAGACGATCAGTATAATTTGGCCGGCCTACATCATGCAGAACAACATTTTTAAGCGCGGTCACGATCGTGTGGTCGACACCGAGAGGCTTTCCAAGGAATGCCCCCTCCGAATCAACACGGGCAAGGCAGGCAAGGACTTCACCTTCAGCCAAGACGACACTACTATCGTCTCTCTCGATAAGTCGGGCCGCGTCAAGTTCTGGGACGTCCGAGAATTGACGGCGGCCGACGAGAATTCCGACCCTCGATCTCCTTTGCCCGCTCACACGTCGTTGGAGGTCAAGGAGCCGCTGATGACCTTGAACACTACGCCCGAAGGCGAGAAGGCCTGGCCAACGTCTGTGCTACTGCTGGATAAGCAACGGCCGTACCAGAAACGCTGTGCTGCCCTACGCTACATGATCGTGGGTATGAAACAAAACCACACGCTCCAGCTTTGGGATCTCGCCCTTGGCAAACCCGTCCAGGAGTTCAACCTGCCGCATAGCAGGGAGTCGGACGCGGTATGCAGTGTCATGTATCATCCCCCGTCGGGCATGATCGTGGTTGGCCATCCCACACGCAATTCCATCTACTTCCTGCATCTGTCAGCACCCAAGTATACGATTAAGGGCCTGTCTCAAGTGGACTACATTCAGAAGCTGGCGGCCAAGGACGCCTCGATTCCGCGGCCCGAGGCCACCGCCGTTATCAGCGGTGTACGCGAATATTCTTTCTCTAAAGGTGTACTCCGGAGCCTGGACATCTTGGCAAACCCTGCCAGCGCTTCGGATAGCGACGAACCGACGCTCTTCGAGCTCTATGCGATGCATTCGAAGGGCGTCACAGGGATCATTGTGAAGCAGAGTGAGGTTGGGTGGAACAAGGATAATAAGGTTATCGATGGCGTCGACGCCGCCGAGGTCGGCCTCGTCAAAATCACGCAGCTAAAGGAATTGCCTAACGCTCTGGTTTCCGAACCCCAGCCTGCGGAAGAACCCGTGCCTCTCCCTCCTCGAGCGCGGCCTTCGAAAGAGGTACCGCAATCGTCCCTTACCTCCCCGCAAGAACAGCCGAAGAAGGGTGGTGACAGCGCACCTGCCGCTGGACCATCTGAACGAAAGGAGGCCGATCTCCCCGTACCTCCAGTTACTCAGCCGGATAAGACCGAGAAGAAGCCTAGGAAGAAGCGTGATAAGGCCGCCGCTGCTGCTGAGAGGCTTGCCGGGGAACACGGACAGTCTAACGGCAACCCCCAGTCGTCAGGCTCATCCAAGCATGGAGAGGCGACGTCATCAGCGTCTTCTGCACATTCCACGATGTCACAGGAATCCATTCAGACAGCTATTCGACAGATCTCAACCGGCCTAAACGAGAAGCTGAGCGCGATTATTCAGACCGAGTTCAAGGACCACAGGGACAAGGTCGAAGCTGAGTTTCACGTCCGCGACGACATGTTTGTCAAGAGCCAGAAGGACCTACTCGACATAGTCTCCAATGTCTTGGACCAGAACATTCAGGCGGTGCTCACCAAGACCATTAGCGACCAATTTGACGACACCGTGGTTCCGGCGCTGAGTGATGTGGTCACGAAAACCATCTCAGAGCAAATTGATGGCAAGATGGTCGGTAGAGTTTCGCACTCGATCCAAAACCAGGTGCAAAAGCTGCTCCCGAACACCGTCATGCAGGCCTTGCAGAAATTGGATCTGACCAAGACCATCTCGGACAAAATCACGAGCAGCATCGCGTTGGACATAGAAGAGAACGTCAGACAGACCCTAATATCCAACATCACACCAATGTTCACCGAAATGACCGTCGCGGCCTCTCGGTCAATCAGCCAAGAAGTCCAAGACAGGACCGCCGAGCAGATCGCTGAGCTGGAGCAGCGACATATCGCGGACGCTAAGAAAATCGACCAACTCACATCGCTCGTGACCGGACTTTCTGATACGATTAGCGCCATGGCGAATGCTCAGTTGCAGTTCCAGGATGGGCTTATCAAGATCCAGCAGCAACTCTCTGCCCGTGACCGCGGTACCGCCACTCAATCTCACACCGTGCCGGCCCAAGCGGCACAGTCGCACCACAGCCAGGCCCTGCAGACGCAAGGGTCGTACTCGTACGGAAGCCCTACCGGGGCCTCTTCCAATCAATTGGTCTCGTACCGAACGAACAGCTCTGGCACCAGAGACCCTGAGCTACAACATATGATGGCAAATATCGCCTCGTTTATGGAGAGAGGTGAATACGAGACTGGCCTAGTCCGATGGATCCAGCTCGACCGCAAGCACGAGGTATTCGACGAGTATCTTGTCAAGTCAAACCCCCAGTTCCTCTCGGAGTTGCCGGCCTTAGTCTCGCTCTCCGTCGCATCCGTAATCTCGGAACAGCTTGAGGGCCCCCTCCTTCGGGAGAAGGTGAACTGGGTGGAAGTGGTACTCCATACGCTACACGCGTCGCTACCACATACTGTTAGTCACCCGCCCCCGCCAGCAAATGTATCTTCTAAACGCGATTCTTTACAGGACCCCCAGGTCCGCGACGTGATCCCAAGTCTCATGAGCTCGTTCATCGATCGACTGGAGAAGCTCTTCGTCCGAATCCGCGCCGTATCGCCGGCCGATCCTATTCTCCCACGCCTGTCTTCGATGACAAACATGGCGATCCGACTCAGAGACGCCGTGCGCCACCCTACTTACTAGGTAATCCACAAACCATGGGGACACTCGGCTTTCTCTCAGACCAGCAAGCCGAATCCGCGAAAGGCGGGTCGCATTTCGACCATTAACCACCTCTTACGAACTAACTCTCTATGTGGTATGTTTATGAGGGACCCAAGTCAGGCCTCGATAGATACTAACAGCACTTGTTCTCAAGAGGCGGTTCTCTCTCTCTTTTCCTTTCACAGTAGCCTAGACGCTATCTAGACTGTCTGGTCTGTGTCTACGCTTCTCTAACCTACCATCTTCTCTGGGTGTGTATGTGTCAAAAACTCTTGGTGGGGCTGGGGTCTTAACGGGAGCGAGTTGTACTTTGGGCTCGGGCACTTTGGCAGGTTTGATGGATGAGGCCTTGCCGTCGGGTAACCCAAGATATCGTGGAAAATCCTGCACCGGCGGTGCTGTACCGATATTGGGTTTCGGCGGCTGCATACATTTTGCGACGTCTACCAGTTGCCACGACCGACTTTTTCATCTTGCGGGGGGAAATGATACCTATCTCTGAATTGCTCTTGTACCTAGTGTGCTTACAATGAGAGGGTTCGTCACAGAAATGTTTCTTTCGGCGGCATCAACACGTTGAACGCCAGGTAGGTGTGTGTACATGATGAGGGCAGCTACTGGTCTCTTCACCACTATCGTTCTCCTGTAGTTCAAGAAAAGAAGAGGGTGGGAGATCGCGTATTGTCGCAAAATCAGTCCAGTCAGGTTTCTAACCAACCTTTCGCTCTCCCACGCTACCTTTTACTGATACGTGAGGTCAACATGCCGGAGCCGGCTCGGGAATTGTAAGGCTGTTAGCTGTTGGATTGCCTCAAGCCCAGGTATATACATATACCAGCGGCAGTGTCACGATAGATGGCTTACTCCCAGCGTGTTGAGCAGTTACGGGCAGGCAGACGACCCAAGCATGGATACGGTAGCCGTGCCCCGATTCCCCTTTGCCCACTTCTACCACCACTCTTTCCAAGACTATCCACCTACACAAGCTATTGATAATACGGAATTACTATGCTATTACAATGGGTGGATGGATGATACCATGGGCTAGATAACGGTGGGGGATCACGGGGACAATAAGGGGAGGGGGCAGATGAGAAGAGGTCGAGGAGAGATGTGGCAGCAGACAGGGAAGTGCTGGAGGGTGATTTGTTGGCGTTTCTTCAGATAAATAGGGGGCTATATGCTATGTATTAAATAAATACAGTGATCCTCGCTGGCCGGCTGGCGTGCTCTTCCCGCAGCCACGTAGACGGTATGTGGATGTATACGCCCGACTCATTAAGCCATGGTGGTCTCCCGTGAGTAACCTCGTTTCCCCTCAGGCCGCTAACCTAGGTCCTCCCTCAACCCTCCCTATCCTCTTCTTTTCGCAAACGCCTACACGTATATCTGTCCGCCGCGCTGAATCACGGCAGGTACGCTGTCTGACCACTCCCCTGGATCCGCTCCCTCTCGCCGATAAAAGGGCAAATTTATCCTATCTTGTGCCAACGAACTTCCGGCGCCGTAATGAAGCAGTCAAGTACGGTAGACTGCCTATACATATACAACAGCCCCCCTCAGGGGAATCCCGACCACGAATTATTCCCTCGTCCCGGGCCGGGGCCGGGGATCGTCTTGGCCCAAGCGGCCAATGGAAGGGGGGAGGCGGCGAATCACAGGTCGGCGAGGGCGAGCTCGTAGGCGTAGCCGAGCACAAGGCGGGCGTGCTCGAGGACGTGGTCGAAGCTGATGGTGTCGATGGTGTCGCCGTCGGTGTGGATGTAGGGGCTGATGCGGTCCATGGAGGCCTCGATGACGAAGGAGGACGGGTAGCCCGCGGCCGACGCCGACGCGTGGTCCGAGCAGCCGTAGCCGCACTGCGTGTCGACGTAGCCGACCGTCGTGTACTGGGAGGGGGGGGGGGGGGGGAGGGGTTAAGTTAGCTGTGCTGGCTGGCTAGCGTGGCGGGGGGTGGGGGAGACCAGGGGAAGGGAAGCCTTACGGTGTTGATGACCTCCCGGACGAATGCCGTGAGGTCCGAGTCGACGTAGTCGTTGATCACGCCCACTACAGTAGCGGTTAGCCAGCTTCCTCCTCCTTATTTCATTCTTTCCGGGTCTTTCTCTGGGGGAGGAGAGCTCTGTACTTACGGGGGCCGTTCGCGTAGCCGGTCATGTCCTGCTGGAGCATGGCCTTGACGACGGTGCCGGAGGAGGCGTACGCGTCGAAGATGTCGGCACTGCCGAGCAGCCCGGCCTCCTCGCCCGCGTACCACTGGAACTCGAGCGTGTTGACGGCCTCGCCCGCCGCGATGGTCGGGTCCGTCAGGAGCACGCGGAGCGCCTCTAGGATCGTGATCGAGCCGGAGCCGTCGTCGTCTAGGAGCCCGGGCTGTTAGTTGGCGTCTTGGTATGCGACGGTGGGACGATGAAGGAAGTGGGGGGGGAAGAACAGGGAGAAGGAGAAAGGCTTACCAGCGCCGGGTGACCGCCCGGCCCTGTTGCGGCCGTTGACCGAGTCAAGGTGGGCGCCGACGACGACCTTGTCCGTGGACTTGCCGGGGATGGTGGCGATGATGCTGTTCTGGATCCAGGAGTGGGTGACGGCGCGGACGGTGATGCCGGGAACGCCGCTCGCGTCGACGACGGCCTGGACCTGGCCGAGAAGCCAGTCGGACGACTCCTTGCCGTAGGTGGAGCGGTAGTAGCGGTTGTAGAAGTCGGAGAAGGTCTTCAGCTTGTCCTCGAGGAAGGACCGGTCGAGTAGGCTGATGAGGCCGTTGACCGTGTCTTGCTGGACCAGCACCGCCGGGTACGCGACGGCAGCAGCGGCCTTGGAGAAGCCCTTCGCAGACGCCGAGGAGGCCAGGTTCGGGTGGTTCGTGATGTCGATGAAGGTCTTGCCCTCGTTCTTCAGGGCCCACTTCTGCTCCTCGGTCACGACCTGGACCACGCCCGGCTCCAGCTCGATGGTGAACAGCTCCTCGCCGCTAGCCTCCCTACGCCCGATCGAGAGGGCGGTGGCGGTGGTGGCGGCCAGGGCCGCGACGAGCATTGAGCGGACCATTTCGCTGGAGGGCGAGTGTGCGCTGTTGGGGCGGGGTGGAGGAGGAGTGCGAGGACGTGAGGCGAGCTACCGCGGGAAACGGGGTATCGAGCCGCGAGAAGACAGGAGTCCAGGTTGGAGGCGCGAGGACGACGTAGGTGGGAGCAGTAGCCGTAGCGCGTCTTCGACGACCTCTTATATCGGACGACGTACGGGTGCCCAGCCCTACACCGAGCTTCTCAGGTTGGCAGGCGGTTACATCCTCCTCACGTACACATTCGGGCCTAACCCCAGTCAGTCTACCTGTCCGTCTGATAAGGGCGAGGACGTCGGCACGCGACGCCGGACCGGGCAGGAGGTTCGCGCTGTAAAGCTTCGGCGTTCCCATAGAGCTCCCCGCAATGCTGCTCTATATTATAGGTAACGTCCGGGGGGCGGTTGGATGGGTGGGTCGCCAGCGACCTTGGTGCCGGCAATATTCCAATAAAGGAAGGGGAGCGGCGGAGACGACGCGGATCAGGACATACTAGGGTAGCATCATGAACCAAGTCGGCAGGCCCATTGTACGGGTGGACGGCACACACGAGAGAATGTGACCCTCTTCTTCCCCACGTAGCATCGGCGGGAGAGACGGGCGAACCGGATTCGCAGGTGCTCCTTGCGTGTGGGGGAAAACGAGGCCAGGAAGTGCCTAAGAGAAGGAAGGATTCTCTAACACTGTCTCAGTCATTTGTATACCTATGGAGAGAGAGAGGTCTAACCGGGCTACGTCCCCAGATACTCGCCTGGGACTATTCTCGTCGTAGGACATTGGATAGGCGGTGCAGATTTCGAGCCTCCACACACACACGCGGAGAGACACGCCTCGGCCAAACTGCCAGTTAATATATATATACCTATACACGAGACCATGACGTGCCTTGACCAGTTCGGGTCTAATCAGCGACAGAATTCAGTCTCGGCAGCGGCGCGAAGGCCCTCAGATAGGAAGGTTAAGCACTCGCCAAGCGCGGCGCTGATTAGCCCCTGTCGCGCGTCCCCTGATTATGCCGGCAAGGCCTGCTGGCGAGGGCGAGGGGGGGGGAGGATACCTTCGCGCTTGGCGGGGTCAGGGAGTGGTAGGGGGAGGGAGATAGAGACAAAAATAGGTAGGTCGGGAGAGGCCGGTAAGGGGGTAATCACAGCTGGGAAGACATGTGAAGGATGGTGTTCTTGGCGCGTGTGTCGGTATTGTATGTTGTCAGCGCGCCGCATCATGGCGCGATGCGTCAAGAACTGTAGAGGCTATTCCGGAGGTAGGCGACGCCTGCATGTGTGAAGAATAGGACGGTGAAGTGTGAGATCATATGAAGACAACCCTGTTGCGCACTCCTCGTCGCGCTTCCTCGCCCTCCGCCCTACGTTCTTTAACGTCTGCCACGTGGGCTATTTTCATTTCTTCTATTCGAACCAAGCACCTCGATAATGCGACTCGAGGTTGGCGGTTTAACGTGCCGTCCGCAGCGAATGGCTTGTTTCAAATCATCTGAGACTCGCCAGACTCAGCTCGCCAGAGCAACACGGCTGGTTTGCGGCCGCGGGCTTCGTACCGGCAGCAGTCTATTTACTATGACGATCGACTAAAAGGCCGATCCAGTCGTACAGCTCTCGATACGGTCAGGGATTTTGGATAGAAAGACTCGACGGCGCCAAAGTCATCAACGGACGGACGAGGATCAACCCATCGATCTGTCGCCTTACAATAGCGCATCTCGACGCCGTCTCGGGTAGGTATACATATGCAGGAACCGCGAGAGCCCACGTAGGTTCTAAGGCGAACAGCAGCCGGGCGAGCCCGAGCCCGAGCCGGGCGTGTGGGGACGCAGCACAACCGGGGCGGTAGCAGAGGGAGCCAAAGAGCGAGTATACAAAGGTCGAATATGTATGCGCCATGTCGTGAAGCACGAGAGAGTGCCTACGAAGTAGAGTGATATTCGGTGATCTTATACGTCTTGCGGGCATTAGTGAATACGAGGCCCTCGCTGCCTATCGGGAGGCTCTCGACAGGCGCGGGCTGAGATCAGGCAGGGCGTGTCTTTGTCTGGGGGACCGCGCTCGACGAGCACGTCGGACCTAAGAACAGGCACATATCCGAGGCCAATATTACATGGCATTGGTTGCTAATTAGTTGCCTCTAATTAGTAGCCTCTAGGCACAAGACCGCCGCGAAACCGGCGCCGTATCGACTGGGTAATCCCCTTAGCCAGGAGAGAATCCAGACCTAACTTCGAGACTCGGTTTAACCCTAGGCAAGCCCCAATCTCGGCCCAATATATTTACCTAGGTACGTGACACATGCGTCCGCCCGTACGCGGGCATTCATGTCCCCTCTCGTCCTTTTGTACACACGTACGCGGCCCGAGCCCGAGCGCGGACGCCGCAGACGGCAGCAGACCACACAGCAGAGGCGGGCCACTGCTGGTCAGATGGGGAACAGGTCCGACACCTGGCCGTTGATCTCACACGGTTTCCAGAACCACCTGGGACGTTATCGGGTCAGAAGAGACTTGGGCGAGCGAGGGCGCGGCGGACTTACTTTTTGCCCGTCTCGGTGAAGCAGCAGAAGAGGAGGGCGATGGGCCAGCAGATGAAGGCGGCCACGACGGCGACGCAGAAGCCGATGGTAGGGCCTGCTCGCTCGCGCGTGTGAGCAAATCAGCAGCAGTGCCTTGGCTGGACGCGTACGACGAAGACAGACAAAGAGACGTAATCCGAGGAAGACAGACGGACAGAGAGAGAAGAGACGCACCGATAATCTTGATGCCGCAGAGGCCGACGCCCCGGCCGCATTGGATGCAGACGACCGGGAAGGGGAGTCCACAGTCGGCCATCGTGATTAATAAACAGTGTTGCTTTCGGCGGGATCTTGTTCACGCGCGATGGGGATGGCCCGGTGTGGAATCGAGGAGGGAGGGTGGCAGCTCGCAGAGCCAGCTAGGCAATAGCTAGGTAATAGCTAGGTAATAGCTGTTGACACTCTCCGACGCGCCGCTCGACCCGAGATGAATCAGGTAACGTACCCAGGTACGTACCTCACGAGGTACCTGTACATAGGTACCTAGGTAGGTACCTACCTTACCTAATACCCCCGCCTTAGCGATACCGCTCCTTTAATTGCATTCTTTCTCTCTCTCTTTTTCTCTCTCTCGCTGACCCCTAAATCAGACCCCTACCTCCACCTACCAACGTAATAGGTCCGGGAGAAACCCCGCGCCCGCCTCCGTACCTCGTAGATCGGTTTTACCATCCAGAATCGGAATGGAAATCTAACCTAAGCTACGCCGCTTTTAGCCTAAGCTTAAACCTAAGTTTAGCTTAATAAGACCCGCTTTTTATAACCTAATATAAATAAACTTATATAATTTCTAAATACGTATTACCGTAATTACGCTAAAAAGACCGTTTAATATAAAATAAACTTTGGTATATAAGCTTAACCCCTTTTCACGGATTATTTCTTCGCGGACTACCTAAAAAACCCTTACTACGTAAGTAATTAAAGCTATTTAAACCATTAAAACTAATTAAAACCTTCCGATTACGGCGTTATTACCTTAATATAGTTCTCCGCTTACGATCCCTCGTTTTTAGCCGTTTCCTGCGCCGTTTCTTATTCGTTAGGTACCTCCTCGTCGCTTGCCTCGTCCTTATATACGATCCTACCTTTTAACGACCTTTTCGCTTACCGTATATTAGCCATACGTACGAAGCGCTTACCTAGCGCCGGGAGGACCTTCCGACGGGTCTTAGGAGTACTACCATAGCCTAGTACCGATCGAACTAAATCATAGCTATAAATAACTATAATTAACTAATCGGCTAGCTAAAAACGGCAGCTAAGAAAAGGAAAAACTAATAAAAATAAATAAAAATAACGAATAAAGGTATAATAAGAAACGAATAAAAAGCTATAGATTCTAATGTCTATAGGTTTAAGTTTAATTAATAAAAAAATAAATACGAAACCTATATAAATATATATCTAAAAGGCTACGTAACTTAGTTCTACCGTACTACTATAATAATCGAGACTCTTAATATTTAAGATCGTATTACTTAAATCCTAGATTTCGAGGCTAATAAGACTTTATAATAGTAGGATATTTTCCTTATCGGAATTAGCTATACCGCGGTTATAAGATAAATCTAATTATATTTATAAAGGGTTATCGATTCCGTTAGTTTCCTAAATAAGTCGGCATTAAAATACGTCGTTACGTTAGTAACTACATTATCCGACGCCTAACGTTATTTCTTTTTATATATTTTAAATAAGGTAGCATTACCTTTATATTATTACTTTCGTACCTACGTTTAAAGTTACGCTACCCTAACTACCCCTAGTCGCGGTAAAAAAATAAACTTAAGTTTATTAATCTACTATTATTACTAACGGATTAGTTTAGGCTTCGTAAAGAATTTCCCGCATCCGTAAATATAGTAATTTATCTTCCTACTCCTAACTTTAACCGTTAGGAAATATTATATCGCGTAACTTAATTACGCAAGGGATTAGCGACTAATAATACGGAGTAAAATATACCGATATAGTCTTATAAAAGGCCTTCTTAGTTATTATTCCTCGCTTTAAGGTAGTAAGCTTTTTTATATCTATATAATTCTATTTATTATATCGAGAAATGCTTTAGCTATTACCTTATCCGTTATAATAGATATAAATCTAAAAAAGAACCTAAAAAAAGGACTCGAGGTTATCTATAAAGGAATAATCGTCGCCGGAGAGGATCCCGATTACTATAAAAGCCCTCGTACCGGTTATTTCTTTAATACTTAATGCTTATAATCGATCGGTTTTAATAACGAAATCGAGATTAATTAAAAACGAAGGCTAAGAAGGGTTCTCGTTATCCTTATTAATTATAAGATTATTAATTAAGATATCCCGATAAAGAATACTAGCCTTATATAAAAACTCGTATCCTTTAATATATCCCTCTAACGCTTTAAGTAAGGCTACTTATAAGCTTACCTTATAAATTAACCTCCCGTAATCGCGTAAAATAATACGTCGGTAAACCCGGTTCGGGAGTAAACTTTTAGGTTTTATAAGAAACGCCGAACCCGAACCTAAACGGGACCTTTTACCGGGCGGAAAAGAGGCGCTAACTTAATAAGATAAGCGTTTAAGGCTCGTAGAACTTAGGCGTAATCGAGAAAACTAGGCTAGGCGCTTTTAGCTATAGTTACTAGCCTTTATAACGTTTAATCCTTTACGAATATAGCCTTAAATATCGTCGTTATTATATCCTATATAAACCGTCGTATAGGCGTAATACCGCGCGACATTCTTTACGCGTTTCTTTATTACTACTTTAAGTAATCTACCTTCGTCGTTACGTTCTAAAAATTACCATAAGTCCTTAATAATAAGCGGTACTATCTTATTTCCTTCGGGGTACGCTTTTTAGTAGATAGTTATACGGCCTACTATACCTAGTATCCGCTTTATAAGACTATCGATTATAATACGCTTTATCGTACTATCTCGCTTAATATCGATATATTAGTAGTAATTTAATTTCATTATAATAGGGTCGAAGCCGAACGATTAATCGTTTATCTAAAGGAAACTAAGGATAGTTAATATAAATAACTACCCTATGTTATAAATATCGAATTTCTTAAATGCGATAGCGCTAAGCCGATCGAATTCCTAAAGCCGTATTTAACGTTTATATAAGGTAAAGGCTAGAATAAAGCGGCGAATAAGTTAAGAAGTAAATACTTCTTTCGCGAATCTTTTTAAAGTAAGCCGCGCTTTAAAATCTATATCTTCTTTAGGATTACTCTTTAGTTCCTTAGGTATTAAGATATATAACTAATCGTCCCCGGCCGTCGGGTTATTTGTAAAGATAAAATCGGGTTTCCGCTTCGTAACCGAGCTATAAAGCGGTTTATTAAAATAAGTTAACGGCTTCCGCATTATTTTCGGCCTATAGTTCTACGCTTACCGGATAATTTAATTATATAAATCGACTAGCTAAATAATAACGTCGTTTTAATTAATATCCTCTAGCTATTTAATCTAACGATCTTTTCCATAGCGTAATAATATCTTATTAATATATTCCTAAAAGATATTTATAAATACTACCTCGAGGTTTAAAATATTACCGAAAAGGGCTTCGTAAAAATTCGGAATATCGACGTATATAACGCTAAGTTTATTTCTAAGGACTTTATTTATATTAACGCGTAATTTAGAGGAATTTATAAAGCTACTTATTTTATATACCGATGGTATTTATAGAAAGGAAGAAACGGGTTTTCGCGGAAGGATAGATTCGGTAACGGCGTAGTAGACTTATTCCTAGATTTCGATATCGGATCGGTAAGTAAGGACGGCATTTAAAAGAGGCTTAATTCGGTTAAGGTAAACGGTATTAAAAGCGAATACCGGAATAAGATTAAAGATATCTTAACGTAGGTTATTATAACCTATTTAGGAAGGTAGATAACGAGAGGCTAGGTAGTTAAGGAATATAAAAAAAAGCGTAAGTATAATGATTTAGAGATCTAGGTATATATTAAAATAATTAATAGGGAGTAGGTAGTTCGTATTTACCTTTACGGTTAACTATATCGAGTTCGATAGGATTCTAAACGACTACGTTTAATAACGTACGGCTTAAAAGGTAATTCCGAATAATATCTAGTTAATATTAATCCATCGTAACGAAAAAGTACATTTAGCGATAGTAATTAATAAGGAAAGTCGGTATAGCGCGTTATATATTCGGTCGGCGATATTTACGCTATTACGGATAACTATATTAATAAATATACGAATTAAGCTAACATTTAATAAAGCGTTACCTTCCTTATCCCGTTATATAAATCATTATAAGCTTTATTTAAGCTATTAAAGCATAAGTTAATTATTAGGCATTAATTTTAGGATAAAGTAAGGAATAAGCTATAGCTTCCCTATATACGACTTCCTAGGAAGTCGCTCGGTCCCCGGGTAAAGGCTAGAGTAAGCTTAAGTAATTAAAGCGCTAATGAAAATATATGCCTGTTATAAGTAAAATATACCGTAGCTATAGCTAAAATAACCGTAAACGCTTTAAAGCCTAGCTATAAATACTCTACCTTTATAATAACATTTTATATATCCCCGTTATTTCCTACCCTAAATAATTATTTATAGCGAATTAATATAGCGTCTTATTTTATTAGCTCTAAAAAGATTATCGCGAAGGATATAATAATTATCGCTAAGGTTTAGGAATACTTTTAAACGAAGCTATTATAGGTATATTCCTTATACTTTCTTTAAACCCCGTCGCTATAACTAATTAATAGATTTCTAAGTTAATTAAGAATAGCTTACCGTTAAAGCCGGCTTCGAGAACGATATTACGGCTAAAGCCTACTATAAGCTACCTCCTAATTTAAATAACCCCGGCGATACGCTAAGAAAGCGATAGTATTCTTATAACTAAGCCGCTTCGATACGATTAAGAACCGAAGATAGAAACGAATACTACCCCTATAACCGCTTTACGTCCTACTATTTATTTAACCTTAAGGATAAAAAGGGTTAAATTAATAACTTAATATAAAAGGCTAGATTATAAAATATATTAAAGGAATACCTTAAATAATAGAATCGTTTAAAAACGGCCGAGATACTACGTAATACTACGTAGTATAATAGGTTAACGAGGCAAAGTAGCTCCGATCGCGTCGTACTTTACCTCGCGTAGCTTACGTAGCTTACGTAATATTAGCGTAGCTATCTAGATTTACTAACGAAGGATAGGCTAGTATATTATTTCTTTTATTCCGCTTCGAATTTACTTATCTA